GGCCCGGGAGACCCCTTCTGACTCGCTCTGCTTCTATGTCTCTATGTGTCTATACTTTCCAATTCGCAAGAAAGGAGATGCAAAAGAGTACAGCAAACATTGAACCATCACATTAATTTCCCATGCATGCAAAGAGATGTTCAAAGTGTTGCACAGTGTTGTTCCAGCTGTATTCCAAAAAAGGAGGAAGCACTAGAGATCATGCTACAAATATATGCTAGCTATTGGAGTGCACCAAAGAATTTCAGAAGAAGACCAGCCTATGTTTTACAGGCTACAGCAAAGCCTTTGATTATGTGGAGCACAGGAAGTTATAGATGGTCCTGAAAGAAGAGGGAGCACCTCAGCATTGATCGTCCTGATGCGTAACCCTCTCACAGACAAGAAGATACTGTTAAGAGCGAATATGGAGAAACAGACTGACCTCCCTTAGGCAATGGTGTCAGACAAGGGTGTATTTTATCTCCCTATCTGTTCATCCTGTACACAGAACATATCATAAGACAAACTGGATTAGGAACAGAGGAAGGAGGAGTGAAAACCTGTAAAAGATACATCAATAACTACGACATACAGATGATACCATCTTACTGGCAGAAAGCAGCAATGGCTTAAAACAATGAGAGTAAAAGAAGAAAGTGCAAAAGCAGGGCTACCAGTGAACATTAAGAAAACAAAAATCATTACTACAGAAGAACAAAAATCATTACCATTGCAGAACTTTACAGTCAACAATGACAAAATCAAAATTGTGAAATCTTTTGTATCTCTTGGCTCAGTCATCCATTCAAAGGGAGCCTGCAGCTGAGAAACAGGAAGAAGACTGAGACCTGGAAGAGCAGCGATGAAGGAACTCGGAAAGATCATGAAGTGTAAGGCTGTTTTCATTGGAGACCAAGGCTAAGATCATCCTCACAACTGCACTTTCAATTGCTATCTAGGGGTGTGAAAGCCTGACGGTGAAGAAAGCTGGCAGGAAGGACATCCATGTCTTTGAAACATGGTGCCGGTGGAGAGCTTTGCCAATACCCCAAAGGGACAGAAAGATGAACAAGGGGGCCTAGGTCAAGCCAAGCCAAAGCTTTCCCTAGAAGCAAAAATGGCAACGCTGACGCTATCATACTTTGGACACATCATGAGAAGGCAAGATTCACTGGAGAAGAAAATCATGCTAGGGAAAGCCAAAGGCAGAAAAAGAAGAGGAAGATGAAAGAAGAGACTGACAGCCTGGAATTTAGAACAGCTAAACAAGGGTGTCATGCAGAGGGCATTCTGGAGGGTTTTCGTTCATTGGATTGCCATTAGTTGGAGATGATGGCACATCACAACAGACCAAATTAAGGGCTATCGAGCTTTGCCTTGGGGATCACTTTGTCCATGTCAAAAGAGAAACTGTGCCCCCCCCCCCCACCCACCCGGAGCAGATGAACAGCCGACTCTTGTGCAGGGCTAGGGAACAGCAGGTAGACAAAAACGGGGGAAGGCAGTGCCGGCGTGGCGTGGTGCGAGGCACTGTGCCGATCCAAGGCCGAGGCCCTCGGGGGGCTCACAAAGCGCCCAACTGCAAGTGGCGCGTGCTCATTTACACATGCCTGAACTTCTCTGTGTGCTTCCGAAGGACCGTGTCTCCTTGGAACAACCCATTTGTGGAAGGGATGCATGGGCAAGGAGAGCATTTGATTTCAGGGTGGGGGAACCCTCAGGCAGGAAGATTTTGAGGGAGAGGGCGCACGCTGTTCTGTACGTGAGGTCGAACGCGCCAGCGCATCCAGAGGGATCAGATGCAGCTGGTCCTCAGCGCCTCACAGCATTGTTTCAGCAAGTGCCCATGGACCGCAGGGTAGTGGACAGAGGGCCTCCCGGAGACATGGGGCTCCAAATGAGCAATTCAGCGCTCCACTCCTAGAGGGCCACCTCTGGAAACGGGCTGGGGTGCTGAAGGATTCTGAAGTGCCTGATGGGCAGGCCAGGCAACAAGCAAACGAGTGAAGGAAAATCTAAAGTTCTGCCGGCCACCTGGCAAAGGGGTCAGGAGCCAACTCCAGGTGAGCCCAGCTGACTGGGATCCAGGCAAAGCAAGGACAGGTCAGCCTTTTCCCTTTGATCCAGTTCAAGATAGATGCCAATTGTGTGCACTTGAGGGGAGTTTTAGGAAAGAGAGGGTGGTCCTTCCACACTTGCACTGGAGGCCTTCACTTTGAAAAGCCTGGAAGGGCAGCCCTGCTCTACTGACAGTTTCTCCCTCTGGCTGGGCATCCCCATAACTCCATCTCCAGAAGCCGCTGCCACCCTCGTGCACCCAAGGGCCTAGCCAGCTCGCTTCCCTCTTGCCCTAACTGGGGTGAGCCCCATCAGCAGCTCCCCCCAGAGGTATTCTTCAGTGGGGGCATTTCAGAGGCTGATTTAGACATGCCTGAAATTCAAGGCCACCCCAGGTCTTAAGAGCCTGTGCCCATGTTTCCAAACAGAGAAGGGCTGCAATGGATGGAATTCGGCCTGTGCAGCATCAACAGGTGTTTCACAGAGTCACTTTTGTTAGTCTTTGCAATTGTCTGTTTTTAGTTGCTTAAGACTGTTTAATGTTTTTTTCCTGCTTGTATGATATTTTTATTGTATGTTTATCATCTGTTTCTATGGACTATGCAACTGCCCAGAGAGCTGTGGAGGTGGTACGGAAATGAAACAAAACAGAACGAATTAGGTGCTTTTTCTATACCAGATAATCTAAAATAAATGTATGTGCATGTGCACATTGCTGATTTCTACCACAAGGATATGCCCTGATTCTGAATTTATAAAATGTAAATTTAGCAAGGAATTAATCCTGAAATCTAATATGCATGCACCAACAATGATTAAATCTACAAATTACATCCTTTTCCTAAATTCAAATTCCAGTGCTACATTTAGCTTGCATATATCCATCTGTCAGTCTACAGAAATCACACTCAGAAGAACTTCAAGACTATTGAAGAAACTTCACTTGAACACTTTTTCGGCCCACTGCTCTTGCCTACTGTATTTCTTGCTTTCTAACCTGTCAAGATACATACACCAGCAGCTGACAAAAGGGCCCTAACACCAGGAACATAAAAGTATCCGTGCCCTGATATACATAAGCAAGGATGCTCGATTAACAAACGAAGGCTCCAATATACGACAGTGCAGGAAAAAGCAGGTCTTCGTGTGCATGGATCTGACGCTTCCACGGTAATGAACAGGCAGTCTGTATCCGTGACAAACACATCGAATCACAGACAGGCTGTAAGAGCTTTTAACTAGACATTTTCTTCCTGTGCGTTCTAAACCGTCTAATGAACAGCACCAACATCTAGATTAGAATCACCCTAATTTAAATGTGCTCTTATTTGGCAATAAGACTAAGAGATGAGGTTGAGAAATAAGGGATGGCGCAGGGCAGGTATTCACAACAGTAAAATCTTACAGAGCAGGTTATTAAAAGAAAGCAGGAGTAGCAGCACTGAATCCCCTGCAGCTCTCCAGTCATACACAAGGTGGGGTAAGTCTAATGAAAATCGGGTGCAGAGAGACTATCTGCAATGTAAAGAGAGACGCTAACCCGGAGAAAGGGAATTGTGAAACACAGATGGAGCTATGCATTATGGTTCATACCGAGCATGGAATGCCTTCCATATGACAAGAATATGAAAAAGGGTAAGGTGCTTCCATTGAAAGAAGAAAAAAGTTTGGAGAACAGATCAGGCTTGGCTTTGGTAAACCTAACAGGGATTTAACTTCTTTTTCATAGGGTCACTGTGTTTAGTCGATTGCAGCAAATATAAGCAAGAATCTCATGGCATCTTAAACAATAGTACATTTCTTGTAACAAAAACTTTCACTTTATCAGAGGCAAGGAGAGTTCCAAGTTTATCTACAGTACATGTGATGCGGGGATTGTAAACAGTGAAGCAGGAAGGAAATTAGAGAATTAAATGACTTACCGTAACAATCCCATTATTAACAGTGTTGCGGCAGCTGGTAACACAAACAGCCTAGCTCTACAGAACTCAGTTAATTCATTCAGTGTGATAAAAATCCTTCATCCTGATTCAAGCCCCTGGCTATAGAAATAAACCTGTTGATATCTTCTAACCCTTATCCTAAAAGCATTTTGAAGTTTCCTTGCTCCACAATGGCCGTGTTTAGACCAATTTCCTGTTCCTTCCTGTCCCAAGATTCCATATTCACAAAGTGAGGCAAGATAAATTGCAGGATGCAAAGTAACTTGCCAGTTCTTCCTTATTGCCAGTCATTGCTGCTGACCAGCCACCTCTGATGTGTGGCAACCCTCCAAATGAACACCTTGCCAGGGCAGCTCCATTCGGCTCTTCCAAGTTCAACTCTGGACTCCCCCCATCCCATATTCGGTCTCCCCTTTTGTCTTCTGCCTCTGACTTTCCCTGGCACGATTCTCTTCTCCAGTCATTCCTACCTTCTCATGATGCACTATGGCAGCTTCAGTTGTGTCTTTTTTACTCCCAAGAAGAGTTCTGGATTAGCCAGCATCAGATCAGGAATGTGTCTTCACAATTAATTATCCAATGATTTGGGGGCACGATTCACAGTGCTGGCTTTGAAATTTAAAACCCCAGCAACTCAGAGCTGGAAACACTGAGGCCATCATCCTCTCAGCTTTCTAGTCTGCACCAACCACGGCAAGAAGCGCAGTCTTGCACATGGCGGACCCTTCCCAGCGTGCCACACCAGGTCAACAGAAGGATTTTAAAATTCATGTTCTGCTAAGCAATAGGAGGCATGTGTTTTAGCTTTATTTTCTATTTCGGCTGCTGATTGTACTTCCCTTCATTGCTGACTGCTTTTTTGACTTTTCCAGCCATTTATATATATTCCCTACTTCTCTGTTATAAGGATTATGTTGGTTTTATCAAACAAGCAAAACAGACAATGCACATGCCGTTAAAACTGGGGAAAACTGGAAGGTCAAAACTGAAGAAACGTGAAATGAGCAGTGAACTTACATGCGCCCACCTCTTCTTCCACATCTCGGGACCGTACCGCTGGCTCTCCTTCAGAATCCAAGGGTAGCACTTCAGGTGAGAGATGACGTCACAGTACGCTGTCCCATTTCCCCCAAAGTCATGGTCCACTTTGAACACCCAGCGCTTCACTTCTGGGTAATCTATTACTAGCTGACTTAGAATGTCAACCATCTGGGGGCAAAAACATGAGGGCTTTGCTTAAGTCCTGACAGAGACCACCTGAGCCGTTCGCCATCTATAACTCTTCGCCTACTTTTCCACAGAGACATCCTACATGAGGAACAGATGAAACTATGGAGCCAGACTTGAATTGGAGACAGGCACTATCGTAAAGTGGTGACAGACACAGAATTTGGGCTTTGCTATTGACCTATTTTTAAACTGGATAGAAAGAGGCATTTTTAAAGCTGTCATGTGGCTTCACTCTTAGTGGGTTTGAATTCAACCTTGCAAAAAAGATTGGCTTGTGAGGTGTTTGTTACAACAGCAGTCCTCTGGATTCTAAGACACTTTTTATTATTTGAACTTCAATCACAAATGGAATTATTATTTGTTTGCTCTGTGTCCCGTTATTTGTTGCTTTTGAAAGCTCAATAAATAGGTTTTCTGTTGATGACTCCCCTACAGAAATGAAATGGGTCGATAGTATTGTAAAGATTGCACCAATAGAAAGAGTTATGAGCTATCTTTAAGTGAAAATTGAACTGTGCTTTAAATTATTGTCACCTCCCTTTGATTATTTAACACCCCCAACCAATATTTCATACGAAGCTTATAGCAGGAAACAAAAACAATCTGAAAAAAATCGAAAGGAAGGCTAATGTGTAAGCGGGCTTGCAGGGCCCAATTTGTAACAGTGAGGGAAGTAATATTAAGGCCAACACTCGGGCCGCGTCTGCACCATATATCACGCTTGTACAGTTGTGACTAGCGCTGCCTCCGAACGGACCTTGTGCCGTTTGCGTCTGCGTCTAACGAAAGCCACTGGGATGTGACCACGCTGCACCAGAGTGGGCCACGAAACGGCCAGCATGGCTCCCGCCTTCCTCCTGAGCAAACCGCACCCTTTCGGTCTAAGCGAGATGCCCGCCAACTGCTTGTGTTCCACCCAGTGAGGGTGCAAATGCAGCTTGTTCAGACCCTTGGCCCTCTGAGTGTGGACAAGCTGCGCCTGATTTTCTGCAGATGCTCATTCAATCTAAAGCTAGGTACATTCATCACAAGAAGATGAGCCCTTCCCTTGAACCCAACTTGCTGTCCTAGGTATTTTGTCTGTTTATGCAAAAAGGTTTAGATGTGCTCAGTATCTGGTTGGCTCTGATTTGCGGTAAACAATGAGTGCAGACAACATATTGGTTTCCATCTTCCGAACACTGATGATGTGTATTTTTTCTACCATCTGGAATTTGCAATAAATTAGGTTACCTTCCACTGTTTACAAGCCAATGGCTATAAGCAAACAGGAAGAAGGGAAAAAAGAAAAAAGCCATTCTGAAAACCAACAGTATTCATAAATCCAAGTGTAATCACAACCTTCCAAAATCTTTATGATTTATATCAATGGCAAGCACATAACCCCGTTGATTCTAGCCTCTGAAGACAGAAACAAGCTGCGATTTTCAAACTGCAATGCAAACAGGGAGGGTTTGTTTCTAACGAAACTGGTGGTTATGCAGTTAAGTTTGAAACTGGAAATGTTTCTAGCCTGAGCAAAGTTTCTATGTGCCAAATTATAAATGAATCTGAATGAGTGCTAAAAGAAAGTTCCGATATTAGCCCAGAGTCCTTCCAAGGCCATGAATGGCTTGAGTAAGATGCAGTCCAACTTTGGTAAACCATCTGCTACCAGACTGCTCTCTCACAATCCTCTGAACGCCTATTTTTTATTTCTTGCCTTGCTGTCTTGGTCTGCCCTCCATAACTCTTTGTCCCATCTTTATACACAGGAATTCCATATTTTAACTTCCTGAGGTGTAATCAGCTTAGAATTGGGAGTGCTTCCAGCTCAGGGAAAATTTACACATTCCAAATTAAAAATGGAAGAGTGGGCAACATCACCCTCTGAGACTGACAAGCAAGAAGAGTTCTCTGACTGGAAGCTGACTGGCGTAAACAGCCTAGAACATGGGTCCTCAAACTACGGCCCGCGGGATGGATCCGGCCCGCCATGGCCTTCCATCCAGCCCGCGCCACCGTTCCCCACCCACGCGCCTTGCTGCGCGGGCAGGGAGGTAGTGGCTTGCTCACTTGGAGATGGTCTCCGAGCGAGCAAGCCGCCGCCTGCCCCCCAACAGTTCTGCTTTATGGGCCCAATTCACAGCACAGACTGCAAGAAGGAAACTTTTCAAAGCGGGACCATGTAGAAGCATCTATACAGTGCAAGCAAGTTTGTGCAAAGAGGCTTCCCCTGCAGCATGTATTTGTTTGATTTATATCCCACCTTTCTTCTTTGTTAAAGAACTCACAGCAGCTTGTGTAATTCTCCTCCTCCTGTCCTCAGTCTTATCCTGACAACAGGAGCCCTGTGAGATAAGTTGGGCTGAGAGTTTACAACTGGCCCAGAGTCACCCAGTGGGGTCCATGGCTGAGCAAGGACTAGAACCCAGATCACCGGCGTTCCAGTCCCGCGCTCTTACCCTTACACCACACTGGCTCTGACTGGCGTGATTATATTTTCCTGGCTAATCCTTTCAGCTGTTCTGAATGTTGCTAGCCTTCATTTTGTTGTAAGCCACCTTAAGCCTCTCTTGAGAAGGCATGCAAGAAATTGAAACAGCAACTCTGAACTCTTGCACGCCTCGCACGCCCAGCCTGTCTGCCCTAGGTGCAATTGTGCTTGATTAGCTAGCCCTGCATGGTCTGTCTGTGCGGGCTGGGCCACAGTTCAAGAACTGCACTGCGAAAGGACCTGGAGGAGGTTAATGACCAGAGGCTGGATGTCAGCCTGCCCTTCTTGAGCAAGGTACTTGACCAGAAGGCCGCCGGCCACCCCCAAACACTTGGGAATGAAACTGACTGTTCAGATTAATTTCCACTGAGCTTCAGGACTTGCTTTGGAATGGAAACTGCTGCGTTTGTCCTGTAGCCTGACCGTTAGAGAGGAACAGGGGAAGTTCAGCCCTGCTCTTCTCAGCGACTTCTGATACCATTGGCCGTGTTCTTCTGGGAGTCGGGGTGCCGGAGATACTGCACTGCCACAGTTCCATTCCTGTTTGGATGTCTGGTGCCAGATGGTGGTGCTGGGGGAATACTGCTCTTACCCAGGGGCAGTTACACCGGGGAGGGGGGGATCTTTGTTTTATCACCCAAGCTGGTCAATTACTGGACTGAGGTGTCCCCCATAAGTGGGTGAGGCATAGCTCTACCTCTCTATCAAATCCAGGTGTGGTCGAGAATGTTCTGAATCAGCGCCTGGATACAGTCATCAGCAAAATCCAGGTAGAATGGAAGTCATGTTAGATGGTGTTCCTTTTCCTGAAGAAGGGAAGTTCAAGCTATTCTGAGTGGGCCTGCACTCCCCTAAAGGGTCAGGTTCATAGGCTGGGGGTGCTCTTAGGTCCTGCGCTGTCAACAGTGGCACAGAATGGAGGGCCTCCTATGAAAGAGAAGTCGAAGGCCGTGGAATCAGGTTCTGACTCAGAGGAAGAGGATGGGCCAGAATCCACTGCTGAAAAGCCACGGACCCAGAGATAAGGCAGCCACTCAGGATCGGGCAGTCTCACTCTCTGTGGGGAAGACTGGTGAGCAAGCTGCTACAGAGGGGAGCAGGCCTAGCATCTGAAGGGTGCGGCATCAGGTTAAGAGGGCAGACCATTGGAGACGCCTCCGACAGGACAGCCCACCTAGAGGCTGGGTTTGCCCTTTTAGGTTTGGAAGGGAGGAGAGAGATTCAGACTGGAATCAGCCTCTCGTCATGAAGTCCCACTTTCCTAGCAGCCGGCTCTTCTGCTAATACCTTCTGCACTGTTTCTCTTCTGGGCTACAAGGCTAGCCTAGCTGCTTGGGTGCAACACACTAAAGCCTCTCAGAAGCTCAGCACCCCCAGACTTTGGCATATGTTAAGGCCTGGCCCCCAAAGTGGGGGCTGCCTAGGGCCGACAAGGTCTTCCAATGGCCACTATAACCAGGATGCCCAAATGGCCGGAAGGGCAGCGGCTCTTACCTGCTGCCTGCTGAAGATGTCACACTGTCCCGGTGGCACAGGCACACAAGCCGCGGCAAATACCCTTTTGCTTCCCGACTTGGAACTGTAGAGACGAGTCACTGCTGGGTCAGAGCCCAAAATGGGCACATCTAATACGTCAGCAACTTCCAGGTCATCTTGGTTCAGAAGTCCTCCAACGATATACGCCTCTTTACCCTGGATTAGGCTCTTGATCCTTTTGATGGTCTTTGGGCTGTACTTCAGGAAGGTGCCCAGAGACATGGGACGGTTCTGCAGGAAGATCACATCTGACATGTTAAAAGGTGTCTTCTCTCCTTCTTCCACTAGGCTAATTTATAATTGTGAGTGCAATAAATACATTATTAATAGCAGGCTGGGTTATGACCCCTATCCTGTAGCGTAGCAGTTTAAATTGATAAAAGCTGTTGGGGTGAGGCTCCATAATCGCTCACATCTTTCGTGTGCTAGAAATGGGCTCGCTGGGAATAGAACTAATTACTACACATCTGTATTTATTTGATCCACACGGAATCCTCCTTCTGTCACTTGGAAGAGAGGCTTGCAGCCTTTGGATATCAGTGATTCATCTCAACACTTCTGGCACACTTTGCTGCTACAGCATCAGGGGGAAAAATCAATACAAAAAAGAAGAATCCTCCATATAGCTGGGGCTATATTTCATTTTACGGGTAGCAGCAACTTTAATGGCTCTTTCACAACTACTCTTCCATTTACAAAACGCCTTTTATAGGTCACATGCCACAGGATAAACATCCTCATCAGACACGAGACCTTATTCCAATGGTCATCCCATTCAAAAATAGGAGGATTCTTGTTAATCGGAAACACAGGAAGATACATGTTTGACTAGCTTGCACATTGTATTTTTAGGCTGGCAGCAAGAAAGGCGCACATGTGATGGCAACATGCCTGGAAATGCGTGCATTGTCCTGATGCATTCAGCAGGGATCTGTGATGGACTGCAATATGCTCTTAAGGACACAGTCAGTGGGCGTGTTCGCCTATCATGCCAATCCGCCCTGTTGGCCAAGCAATGCACAGGGGGCCCGTCAGACTATCAGAATCACTGTGGATTGTTGGTCCCCTTCCTCACTTCCTTCTCCGGTTTTGCAAGGTACGCCGGGGGACACGGAAACACAAACTCCGATTGCAATTTTGACACTTTTAGGCTTGCCTTGGCTTTTTTGGATCGCCCCCCCCCCCCCCCCCCGCAGAATGCTCTTTTTTCCTAAGAGTTCATGAAGGCCAGCTTCACAGCTGGCTTTCACAATCCCCGCAGCCACTGTCTGCCCCTTCAAAGTGCCTCCGGTACAACTTGGAAGGGCTGCTAGTGGCTGGCAGGTCTTGTTTTCCTTAAAACGTGCACAAATATGTTATTGCTTAAAAAAATAGCTGCACGTGTGCGACTGTGGACATTTGCAGCTGTACAAGTTCAGGAATTTGAAGCCTTGGCTGAGGTCCAACCCAGAACCCTGTCCAAAAGTTGCTGCACATACAGTCTTCTCCATTGCTTTCTCTTGACACTAAGTGTTCAGGAACATGCAAAAGTGTATTACTCCTTTTTCTTAGTCCCTTTAAAAACAGGTTTTGGCAGGACACTTCCCCTTTTTTTAAGGACAGGAACATATCCAATTATATACCCCAGTCAAAAAATGCCCAGTGCAGTTTTTCTTAATGAAAAGTGAGACATGTACTTTTCTAAGCACCTAGAGACTTAGAAAAGGGTGCAAAATTTATGGCACCCTGAAGACTGTCAAGGCAAGAATAGGTGGTGGGGGGGGGGGGGACAAGAACTTGTTGGCAGTTCTCTGTGGCAATGTCCAGGACTGGCACCTGCCACACCTCTGGCAGCTAGGCCCCCCCAGGACACTGCCCCAGCCAGGCCTTCAAATTCCTAGAATCAAAGAATCATGAATCTAAACAGACAAACAAACAAAATCCCACAACCTATTTGTGCACGGCCTGTGTGGAAAGGCAGGCAGTGACCAGCCACTACCAGCCCCTCCACAGTGGAGTTCAGGCACTTTGAAAGGAACTGCAGAATCGGGTTGCCAAGCAAGCATTTGCCATTTCTTAACACAAGGCAGAGACATCCAACCAACGCCAGTTGCCCTGAGTGCCTCTTGGGCATTTGTGGGGTGGTTGGCACTGGCCGGTGCCTGGGAAAGATTTGCAAGAGCTCGCTTGCTCCTGCCAAGAAGCTGCCAGCTCTTTCCTGGTGTACACAGCGGGGTCGGTCACCAGGTTCAGATGACAGGGCAACCCATTGTGGGTACAAGAATCCCTTGAACAAGCTATGGGGTTTCAGAAGGGTTTGTCCGTCCTCATCCTGCCCACCACCATCCTGTCCACCACCAGAGTGGCAACTGGGTTTGAAGAAAAAGAGAGGTCAAGCTGAGTGTCAGCCACATGTTGGTGGAACCTCAGCCCAGTCCTCTGGATAGGCTCCCCACAGCATTGTTATGGAGATGTTAAACAGCATGGGGGATAAAGCAGAGCCCTGTGCTACCCCACGGCACAACTGCCATGGCACAGAGCAATACTCCTTCTGGAATCGGCCAGTCAACAACAGGGCTGTTGCTGTGACGATAAAACGGAGATATGTCAGGCTGCCTTGGGTTTCTCATGAGAAAAAAAAAGTTAAGATAAAAGTGCAATATAATCATGATAAACCAGCTTTAATAAAGTCGCAGTCTTTATTATGACAGGGGTATCTTGCCCTTTTCTCTCTTGTAAGAAACTCAGCGTTCTTACAGAATTCCTCTCCTCTCCATTTTATTCTCATAACAACCCTGTGAGGTAGGTTAGGCTGAGGGTTGGCGAGTGGCCCAAAGCAACTCACTGAGCTCCATACACGAGGCTTATTTCTAAATAAACACACATGCTGGAAATTTTAATAATCATTACATTCTGCAAATGTTGTGTTCTTAACAGAGATGAACAGGAGATGCATTTCTTATAAATAAATAAAAGCAAGACCTGTCGCCCATCTACATACATTTTTTCCAACCTCCTCTTGGAGCCTAGCATGAATTTCACTCTTTTTGCTGCTGCTATAAAGGATCTGATGCTTTCGTTGCAATACCCACCCCCGCCAGGCCTGCATGAATGAACACCGTGCCTTCTGGCGGATCCCACACCATTCCAGCTGCACTTACTTGCCAGTGGTGGTGCTGTGCCCCTGCCTGGTCCCAGATGGCCAGCACCTTATTTTTCCATAATTCCTGGAATAGCATCAGGTGGGGACATTAAAACGACAGCCTCCTGGAGGCTGGAGAGGGAAGAAAGCAAAGGCTCCCAATCGGTGGTCGCCTTTGGCAGGTGCCGAAGGCCACTGTGTGATGACACTGGGCATGCTGTCCACTGTGACTCGAAGAAATCTCCTTCCCAGGTAGCCACGTGTTCATCAAACCCCACGTCCAGAGCATGTGACGGAGCAGCGCCCTGCCTCTGCCACGCCACCACTGAGACTGCACCGCTTGCAACCAGCCGCACAGCACAGAGCCCTTGAGAACGCAGCCAGAATCAGGACCCACCCCCACCCCGCCTTAGGAGGAGACGGAAGCACCAAGGAGCAGCATCTACAGACGCTGCTGGAACATGAGCCTCCGGAAGACCGAGGGTGGGCAGGCCCCACGTACAAACAGTTCAGCGTGTGGATGCCAAGCAGGAAGGAGGGGCCTGGGGGCCACGTGGGAAGACGAGGAGCAGCCATTCTGCTTGAGCTGCGGTCCAGAAGGAGCTGCCTGTGCTCTCTGCAAGGCACTCTTCTTCATTCAATTACTCCTAAATGTTCTCCCTCACAAAATGATTAAATATATTGACTGTGTATATTAAATTAAATAAACATACTGCCAGCATTTTAATTTACGATATGGAAACATCACTCACTCGGCAGCCCTTGGGTTCTGCGCTGGCATTCACACGGGGCCCTCGAGGTAAAAGAAAGTTGGACTGTCTTGGTTTACATCTTTAAGGTCAATGGGCAGGAACGTGTCCCACAAAACTGAGGCAATCGTTCAGACCAGCAGAATGCAGTGTTGGTCTGAGCCACTGAACGGTGGCCGAATGCGGTCAGTTCTGTGTGAAAGGCATGGACTGGCTGAACAGAGGGAAAATTCTTATAAAAGGGCAGAATTTAGGAGCTGACAAATGTGCATGTTGCGGCAGCAGTACATGAAGTTCTCCTATGGTGGGGCACCATAGTTTTATGGTACAAATAATGACCTCGCCACACTCTTGCCATGAAGAGTGCTTATATTTCAAGAAAACCTGGCCAAGGAGAAATGGCCATCACTCAGCTGAGTTGCTGAGAATTTCAAACGCCCAAGGAAGCCAGCCATCTCTTCCTGCCATAAATGAGCTTGCTGCATTGCAGCATTATCAAAAGCCCTTTAAAATCAAGAGTACAGTAGCAGTAGGAACTGGGGAATTGGAGGGGGAGGGTCTATTTTCTGGAGTGTGTTTCTGCAAATTAAAAATGGCTTGATGGGTTCAAAACAACTAACATATCCAACACCTCTCAATTAAAGCCATTAAACAATCCAAGGGACAAAAGTGTCTTAAATTGGATTTTGCCACAATAAAAGCAAGAGGCAAAAGTGGGGGAATAACTAACTATGCAGATGCAGAGAAGGAAAGTTTGGACAGAAGAAGCTTTTTGAGTGCTCTACTTTTCATCACACGATAAATCTATTAAGTTCAGAGTTCCAGATAGGGCCAGATGTTGGAGAGGGGCTACTGGAGAGGGGCTTAGCTCAGCTCAGCTTTCAGCATCCAAAGCTAAAGCAGGGTATTTATTTCCAACACTCTTAACTAGTTGCTTAATCTCTGAAGCTCTTAAAACTTGCAATAATATTTCACTGATGGGTACCAGAGCATTGCAAGTTATAAAATTTCCAATTTGATTTTACGGCATTCCCCACAGCAGTAGTAATTAGAAGATAAAAGCTCACAGGGAACGTGTTTGTGGCTTCAGGGGTGAGGATTTTGAACCTGTCCTGTAGGTCAGCAGCATCCTCGGCGTTCCCAGTTCTAATGGCTGGCTGAAGGCCCAAGAGTTTATTGTAATATTGCAGCAACTCCTTGCTCATCTGAAGCGGGCAAACATAGATGACGTCCACATTAGGATCTTGGGAAAAATGCAAAGATTCAGTATAAGTAGTGATATAAAGGTAACGTTACCTGTTTGTAAGCATCTTGACAGAGAAACCAGACCCCTGCTTCATGAACATCTTTACTTTTTAATCTCTCCCCAGCCAGGTCCTATGCTCAAATTCCCCCCGACCCCAGAGAAAGGGCAGCAAGCCAGGGGAATTTCTAGGGAACATGCTGGTTTCATCAGACAGGAGAGCCAACCTCGGGAAGGTGGGAGAAGAGGATGGGTTGGTGGGCCTGTCCTTTGAGGGCAGGACAGTTGAGTCCCATGTCCAGCAACAGCTTTCTGCTGGGGCTTGGGAAATAAGGCAATGATCCCTTGGAAAAGATCCATTTCTTTCTTCCTGGTATGGTGCACCAGAGGGCAAGAAGAACTGTAGCAGCAGGCAATTCTGCCATGAGGGGTAGGGACAGGTGGGTTTGTCCTAGACACAGAGACTATGTGGCAAATGGCCTGAACTGGTACGGTCTGTGGACACCGAACGCTGCTTGCATGAGATGGAGAAGGCAGAACAAGCTTCAACAAACAGGAATGGCCTGAACTGGTACGGTCTGTGGACACCGAACGCTGCTTGCATGAGATGGAGAAGGCAGAACAAGCTTCAACAAACAGGAATGGCCTGAACTGGTACAGTCTGTGGACACCGAACACTGCTTGCATGAGACAGAGAAGGCAGAACAAGCTTCAACAAACAGGAAAACAGTTTTGTTTTTCAAAGTGGCCCAACACTTTTCAGGCCTGTGACTCTCAGATCTCATCCTTCTCAATTTATCTATTAATCTATTTATTTTACTTTTAATTACTATTATTAGTTTTTTGTTATTGTCATCAGTTTTATTGATTTTTGTGTTATTAGTGTTTCATTCTATCTTTTTATTGTACAAAAGCAGCCCAGAGAGCCTATGGTTAATCAGGTGGCATACAAATCAAATCAATAAAGGAGATCAGAGTAGACACATCAAAGGTCTGGTGGAATGGAAGGAATTAGTGTGAGGTGGTTATTTCTAGACAGAAACTTTATGGGAAGGAGGAGGAAGAGCAAATTGGATCCAGCAAAAGAGGGCAAAGAGCATACCTCAAATGTAGGGGACCAAACCAGATCCACAGAGTGGTTCAGTATTGGGGACATGCTAGCACCTCCAAATGCTCAGGGTGATCTTCAAAGACAGAAGGAAGGAAGGAAGGAAGGAAGGAAGGAAGGAAGGAAGGAAGGAAGGAAGGAGGCAGGCAGGCAGGCAGGCAGGCAGGCAGGCAGGCATCTAAAGTCGAATGAATTCTGAGTCTCTCTTGTCTGCAGCCATCTACTATATTGAATGTATTTATCTTCTTAAATGGTTTTTAAAATCTGTTTTTAAATTTTGTATTTTAAGCTGTTTTCATAGTTTCTGTATTGTGTTTTATTGCTTTTTACTGATTGTTATTAACCACCCAGAGAGCTTCAGCTATTGGGTGGTATATAAATGAAATTAGTAACAACAATAGCAACATGGTATTAGCAAAAGTAAGTTCTTCCTCAATAAACATTTAGAGTTGCTTGAGGAGGACAACTGGATGAGGGGGTCCAAAAGATGGCAATTATTGGGACCTTCAAATGGCATTTGTAAAATTCCTCGGCAAGGACATTTCAGCAAACATAAGACTCATAAAAGAAGAGGAGAAATCACCATACAGATTGGTAAATCATGAAGAACAAGTTGAGAAAGTAGAAATTAATGGAGGTATGGAAATGATGAGATCTTCTCCCATAAGTATCTGCACTGGGATAAGTGTATTCAAACTTAGTAATAAGTGATCAGGAATTAAGAGTGAGGTGGGCACGTGTGCTGATACCACCAAATTATTGAAAGGATGTCAGAAGCAAAAAGAGAAAGCAAAGAGCTCCAAAAAGATCTCTCAAAACTTGGGACTGTTGCTATGTTTTTATGTGCCGTCAAGTCACCTCTCGTGATATAAAGGGCTTGTTCTGGATACCATGACAAAAACACTGACTGACCCCGAGGCTTTGGAAAAAAGCAAATCCCACGCTAGAGATCATTAGGAAAGGAATGAAAATATAATCATTGATATTAGCATGCCTTTAAAAGAAATGTATTCCAAGAGTGACCAAACTTGGCATGCTGGTCACATTTCAAGAAGGACTTTGGAAAAAGGCAACTACAAATAACAAGGGGCTGGAGCAATTCCTCTCCTAGGAAAGGTCTCAAGGTTTGAGGTTAGCTAACTTAGCAAAAAAGTGAGAAGAGAGGACACAGCAGAAGCGCATGCTATTCTGCAGAGAATGGCCATTAATGCTGGAGCCTGGGGTTGTCCAGTGATGCCGGACGCTGGGCATTAAGGCTGGACAAGGTGTCCTGGCACACGGGAAGCAGGGTGAATGTCACAAGATTCGGCCTGCCTAAGGGCAGCCTCCCACATTTCTAAAGATGAAATGTTTACGCCGAGCGTTTCAGTGTGGGTTATTTTGAGAATCCTCCTGCAATTTGTTGGCTCCCAGCTCCGAATCTTGAACGTCTGATTGCCTGTAGAATTCTTTGTATTGTCCCCCATGGTTTTCTCCCTAGGGCAAGGTTCGGGGCATGGGCGGCAGGCTGGGAAGGGCAGAACAGTGGGAGCAAGGCCCCTGTGCCAGGTGGGGCTCTGTAACCAGCTCAGGGGCCAGAGTAAGGAGAGGGTTAACAGCCCAAGTTTGAAGCTGCGAGAAATGTTCAGTCCAATAATGCACAGAGGGACAGGATAGTCTGCAAAACAGTCCACGTACCAAGGGGACGAAGTACCAAGGTCAGGAGAGGTTGGGGATGAGGGATGTGAGAATAGGCAGGAGCAGCGGGAACGAGGAACGAGGTGAGGAGCTGCAGATAGCCAGGGTTCAGGAAAGTCAGAGACGGCTTGTGTTGCTGCGGCAAAGAAACACCGTGCAGAGCGGCCCTTCCGCTGGTTTCCAAGCCCCGGCAGCACGCCGTGACTGCTCTCAGCTGCTTCTCGCAAGCGCCTGCGATGGCGTTCCTGGCTCTGCACAGATCTGCAAGGTTAGTCAGGCCCGGTCCTGACACCTGTGTCCCCCTCGGCCCCATTCTTACACGCCTTAAGAAATTCTTTTGCAGGAGTGAAGCACGGCCACCAACCAAGACTGCCCTCTTTCACAGGTGACCTTCTTCTTCTCCACAGCTTTGTCACCGTGTCCTGAACCACCGCTCAGAACTAGAATGCGCGGGCCACAGCTCAGATCTTCCAGGCACATGCAGCTGGGGACCCATCCTCGGCCCACTTCTTTCCTTGGGACAGGCATCTAACCTGAACCTTTCCCCTTGCGCACCGTGAGCCACTCTCCACATGGATGGTGTTGCAGGAAGCAGCAGCAGCAGAAAATAAATAAATAAAAATAAATAAATAGTGTGGCAGGCTGCCAGGTTGCTTGCTTGGCAGCCGTCCTCTGTCTGCATGCATGGCCAGTCTGAATGCACAGGCAAATCAAGCGGCTGCTCGACGAGGCCATGTTTATTGTTTTCCAAAGAGATTCCATGGAGAGGGGCAGCTTTACAGATGTCATAAACTGAGGTGCGGGAAGGTTTTCAACACAAGGGGCGGGAAGCCTTCCGAAGGGAACAGTATACTGCCTCTCACTTTCTAAGTCACCCAGAAGTAACAAATCTTTCCTAAAATAAACACGATGACATAAAAGAACCAAACTGAGGACAACACAACATTAGTGCCTTCATAATATATAAAGGCAATTAAGTGATTATTTTAGGCTCCTATAAATTTTCAGAATATGTTTTTGTGCAAACTTCCTAAATGGCATTTATGAAATAATAATGATGCTGAAATATAAATGAATCATGTAAAGTATGTCATTCTGGGGAGCCAGCAAAGTTGGCCACTGGCAAATTAATATTTTCCATTGTTCCGCTTAAGGAAGAGTTGCCACAAAGAGGGGAAACTTGCCAGTCAGGTCTTAAAGATAGAATGGCAACGCCCTGGTGGCGATGGTGGTGCGATCCTTTGATGGACCAAACCTTCCCACACTCTCCCTTTCACAAATAACGTCTCAAACATAGGCTGTAACAGATTCCAAAATCTGCCTTCACAGACAACCTTCCAGGCAACGTAGCATCCTGCTAAGGCATGACCAAAATCACCTGGAAGATTGGCCAGTCTGAGCTTTCCCGCTCTGGGAACTGCCCTGCTCTTATAGAAACACCTGCACTGTGAGAACTCTGCGTTGTCTATTGAGTGATTACAAACACTCAGAGCAAAATTCTTCCATGCACTGGCTTTCCTGCGGGAATACTGCCTCCCCCTGCAAAGCTGCTTTGGTGAGTTAATGTTGGGCTCCTGAATATTTAGCATTAGTGAGACAGGGTGACTTTCATTTTATTTTTAAAGTCACCAACGATTTCTGAATGTCTCTGCTTGGTTCTTTTGTAAATATGTTGAACACACTTGCCTAGCCTGAAAGTGGTCTCATTCCTGCCCTGGATGCCTCATCAAATATGCTCACTTGGTTGCTAAAAAGTTTAAAGGAAGTGCTCCGGAAAGGACCCTGCCATCCACTTCAAAAGGCTGTGCTACAGACACAGATTCAGAGCTCCTTCAGGCGCACCTCCAGGGGAACGTTTAATTTCTTCTCTTTTAGCTGCAAAGTTCATCCACAATGCTGTATTCACAAGCAACTTTTAGAGCCACCGTAATTTATTCATTCCACTTTGACCCTAATTTGGCCCAATGGCCAAAGCTCTCCGAGTGCACCATGGCATGATAAAACAACATAAAACATTTAGCACTGGAAAAATTAAATCAGTTGAAACACAAATACAAGGCAATTAACAACAAGACTGCCATGGCTGGATTAAAAAAAAAAGGAAATGGCCTCTACCTTGTATTTCACACAGCCGTCCAATCTGCATTCCCTGATGAATAGCGAAATCAGGTGCTGCATCTCGAACATGCTGAGGGTAGCCTGAGAGAAGCCACCAGAGTATTTATTTATTTAGCGTTTTGTATGCTGTCCCATCGCTTAATGCCTCGGGACGGCTTACATAAACAAACAAACAGGGCACAAAAAAAATACAAATTATACAAATTAAAAACCCGATTCATTCCGGCTGCAAATTAAAACCTATAGTTAATATTAAACGTTGTTAAATATTGTTTAAATAAAAAGGTCTTAACCTGGCGCTGAAAAACAAATAACGACGGCGCCAGGCGGACCTCTCTGGGGAGCGCATTCCACAGATGGGGCGCCACTGCAGAGAAGGCCCTCCTCCGGGTACTTTGCCTCCTGATGTCTTTCACGGAGGGCTCCCGGAGGAGGGCCTCGGCTGCCAATCTCAAGGGGCGGGAGGGCAAATATGGAAGCAGGCATTCCTTCAAGTATCCAGGTGGTGGTGGGGTGACCATGGAGTGACCGTCCCTGTGCCGGCCTGGCTGCGGCCGGCGAGTTAATGCCGCGGCCCCTCCCCCATGCCCCTAACCCCTAACCCTGCCCCCAATCCAGCGCAGCTGCCACCCATGGGGGGGGCGGGAGGCAGGAGCAGGGCTTGCCAGCACCCGCCGGCAAGACGGAGTACTGCCACGTGAGCCGGTTGTGCAAAGACCTTCATGCAAGCTTTGTCATATTTTGCTTTCACTTGCAAAGAGCAAGATTTGTGACCAACATTTTCTGGTAGTTTCACAGCTCAGAATAAAAGCCACCTGCAGTTCAGGGATTTTCGGCCCTTTGGGTCACAAACATGAGCTCTGGGGTCAGTTCTGCACAGGCAGCAGAACCCAGTGACAGCACCTTTCCAGGACTGCAGCATTGCAGGTGGCGAAACACTGCATGTTTGCATCCTCAGTGATCATGGAACTAATTAGAAGGTTCAAAAAGGGTTCTATTGACCTGGTTTACAGGACCGTCGCTGCCCACAGGGGGTTGCTAAAGCCACAGTGAGCTACAGTGCTTGCTGGGCCTTGCTGGACAGGATTTGGATGGCTGCAGTTTGTCCAGCCATGGGGACCACAGTTGTGCAAAAGTTTAACAACCCTTGCAAAACCTATGGCTATTGCTGGGTTGTGTGAGACTTGCTTAACACTTGCATAACTCACAGTCCCTCGGTTCTGAAGACATCGCAAGCCTTGGCTTGGACATTCAAAATGCCGTTCGTCCAAACGTTATTCATGTGAAGCATACTTCACATGAATGGGCAGGAGCCAACAGGATGGTGTTCAGTGTGGATAAGTGCAAGGTCTTGCACTTGGGGCATAGGAATGGGTGTCATCAGTACAGGTTAGGGGACAAGTGGCTGGAGAGCAGCACTTGTGAAAGGGACCTCGGGGTGCTGGTCGACTGCAGGCTGAACATGAGTCGGCCGTGTGATGCGGTGGCCAAGAGGGCAAACACCACCCTTGGTTGCAGAGCCAGAAGTGTGGCTTCTAGATCGAGAGAGGTATTACTGCCACTCTGCACGACTCTGGTGCGCCCACAGCTGGAGCATTGTGCTCAGTTTTGGGCCCCTCGTTACAGGAAGGATATAGCCAGGTTGGAGTCAGTGCAGCGTAGGGCCACAAGGTTGGTGGCCGGATTGCAGGGGATGCCGTATGAGGCGAGACTGAGGGAACTGGGTCTCTTCAGCCTGGAGAAGAGGAGACTCAGAGGGGATCTGTTGGCGACATGCAGGCATGTGAGGGGGTGTCACACGGAAGTGGGCACAGACCTGTTCTCAGGGAACCAAGGTTCAATTTGGATGCCAGGAAGCACTTCCTGAGAGTCAGGACCCCGAGGGTGTGGAGTGGGTTTTCACGGGAGGTCGTTGAGGCCCCATCGGTGCGGGTGTTCAAGGACAGGCTGGACGTGCATATGGCGGGCATGTCGTGAGCGGAGCCGGCTGGAGTCGGAGGTCAGACTAGATGGCCCGGGAGACCCCTTCTGGCTCGCTCTATGTTCCTGTGTTTCTATACTTGGAACCATTTGGCTAATGGGCAGTAATATAAATGCACACCAAACCTTCCACCTGGCTTATCCTTTTTTTTTCTGAAGGTTCTCCTCCCTCCCCACAATGGGAAACATTAAATAAGGAAACCTCCAAGTCCTGCAGCTTGACTCACGAGAAACGTCTAAGGTTGTCCTGGGGTCTCAAAGGCCAGGTCTCACAAAGGTGTTGTTTAACTGTTAATAGTATTTATTTTATTTTTTGGCCAGGGCCAGGGCGACTTATTTTATATTGTTAACTTGTTTTATATTGTTAATTTATTGTATTTTAATTGATTTATTTGTAAGCCGCCCCGAAGTTTCGGCGAATGGGGTGGCATAGAAATTTTCTAAATAAATAAATAAATATTTATGTAGTACAAGGGTCCAGTCAAAGTTGAGCAGTTGAGAAAAGTAATTGCTTTCAATGAGAGATGTCTGGCCTACATTCGCCCTTCCATTTGGAATGGAAAATACCTCAGGTACACCATCTATGTATTATGAACTTAAAACTTGCTTGTGCCCCTTATTTATTTATATGTTTTTTTTAAATATCAGGCTTAACTAACTGACACTGAGATCCACACTCATAGGTTCTTCAAAACCATACGTGAGGTTCAAATGTGGGACAAACATCCCACTATCCTATATTCTGCAGTTACTAAAAAAAGTTTAAAATTCACTAAATTTTTAAGCTAAAATTCTTACAATGCCATGGTCAACTCATAAAATCAAATAATACAGAAGGATAAAAAGACAGAAAACAATATTGTATATTTAAAATCACACATTTGTACTGGTCTTTAAATGCAACTAAAATTTCATAAAATTGTACTCTGGCAAACATCCTTTCCTTACAGTAGATTACATTAACATTAAAGAGCAAAAGCTGGAGTCTATTTTCCCTTTAAAAAAAATCTTAGCAGAAGCTTAATCTGTAGTCTTTTCAAGAATCTTCAAGAGCTAAAAAAATCCACATTTCTTTGTTATTTTTTTCCAAAGCAGGTGAAATGAGGCATCCCAGGTTCAAACATCGCATTCCTAATTTAAGATATTTAATGGTCTTATCAGTTCTGTAAAAGCAAGTCACAATAAGAAAAGGAAGATTGCATAATGGCACACAATTAATAGAACTATATTTTAAAAATATTTTATGAGTGATATGAAACACAAATAAGGCCAGATTGTTTTTTAAAGAGAACTTCACTGTAAAATCCACAAATAATTAATTCAGCATTCCAAAATAGCAGTGCATTTCTATTAAAGTACAAAAGCTAATTAAATGGACCAAGGATATTTTCGTGATAGAGGAAAAGGATTTTTTTTCTTTTTAATTATATGACTTGAAATTTCATAGCCACATTCTCTCTATTTAAAGGATTTTTGGTTTACAATCTCAGTGTCATGGGATTCCATTGCACCAAGTCCATTAAGGGCTTCTGTTGGGCAATTTCCATTCATTAAGCGAAAACCTGCCTGGGATTCCCCAAGTGCAGTGTCTGGTGGGTTGCAGCCCACTTTTATATGCCTGAAACATGTAAATATACACATTACTTGCCAAAGTGAGAATTTTTACTTGAAACCTGTTACCTGAGCCTCTTTGGAACAATTTCTATACAGCATATATCTGGCAGTTCCCATTCCTAACTAAAAGGATTTTGAAACTTGGCTAATTCCAAATGTGCCGACCTAAACATTGCACCGCTATAAACAAAACCAAAAAACCCCTAGAGCGATAGGCAGCAAAAGGAGCTGTCATGAAATCATAGCAAGCACTGCTTAACGACCGGAAGTCACCTGTGTGTTCCTCAAATACAAGAGCAAGAAGATGAAAGCAGTGCATTCTCCCTGTACTTGCACACGACTCCCCCACCTCGCGGTATCTTGGGGAATGGGGTCACATTCCTGCAGAAATGCCACAATGTGGACTCTGCTTTGTGGAAAAGAGGCACGGCAGACATTTTAGGCACATAGGTTATGTCTGAACTTTGGGAAGGAGCTGTACAATCAGATTTTGACTACTCGGAATTAACGACAGGACACGTGAATTGCCCTGCAACCTGAGGCGTGGTGTTGGCAGCAGTGCTCAGTCAGATGCTTTTGGAACGCCAGCAAGTCGCCTTTGAAGGCAACAGCCCAGCCACAGCCTCTGGAGACACAAATTCCAGGCTTACTGTGGCTCATCGCTCTCATGGGTGGAACAGGAGACGGTCCTGGAGAGCAACTGATTCCACCACCTTAGCCGCATGAGGGTGAGATCCTGTGGCCACTTGCGGGTGGATACAGGACAGGCTGGAACTCTGGGCCCTTGAGGTCCAGCCCCTCTCCATTCCCACGGTTCCTCCCATGCTGGTTGCAGCTGGCAGGCTGCAAGATGGACCCGGGAGCCGGCATTACAGGGGAGTTCTGGGTGAGAGGGAGGGGAGCAGCGAGGCGCCGTGGGGCGCCACACTTCCCGGTGGCAACTCAGCCTATTTTCTTGGGGAGCAGGCACACAGGGCCAAGGAAGGGAGCTTGGCTCCGTCTTTTGCAGGGTGGGAGGCGCCTGCAGAGTAAATGCTGAGGCACAGAAGCACAGACAAGCAGAGGAGCTGGAGGGGGCCAAGGCGGCCATGTGGGCGCAAGACTGACCGGCTGACCTTCTCGCAGCAGCTCCCCCTTGCCCTGCAATCCTAATGGAACTGGCGAGGCAAGAGGCCCAAGGACTCTGCTTGCCACGGGCCAGAAACTGAGATCTTGCTGTGACATCACACTGCGCACAAGTGACCTTGGGCCAGCCGCTATCGGCCTAACCTGCTTCACAGGGTTGCAGCGAGGGGGCCGGAGGGGGGAAGAGGAGGCCTGGGGAAGCCACCGGGGCCCTTCACTGGAAAAAAGGCGGGCTATACATCAATATTAAATAATCTAGGAGCATGCAGGAGCCTATTGTTTTGACATATTCAAGGATGCAGGAGCACCCAGTCGTCAATCCCTCTCCAGCGCAACTGCAACAGTGGCAGACAGAAACCCGTCTGTGACATGTGCCCCCTTTTCTGGCCGAGGTCAGGATTTATCTTCAAAACCCAGAACCAAGATGCCACCCAGTGGGGCAGCGTAATCTCACTCGCAGCCCTTCTGGAACCTGCACGGCACGGAGCGTGGCCAGGGCCCCCGCGCTGAGCCGCTGCCTCTGTAGCTCTCCTCACCCCACATGCATGCAGAGAAACATAGCAGCAACCGGGGAGATGCCTGCCCCTCCTGCAGCCAGCGGAGGCTTAAGACAAGGGTTACGGGATTACACGGGAGAAGGGAATGCTTCCATAATCATGCGTTATACACAATTGCCACAGCACTGTGCCATGGAGCAGAACTGTTTATTTCATTAGGGAAGATTAAGGGGGGGGACGACGACGACCGCAAAAGCGCTGCGTCTTGACTGAGTGAGAGAATCCCTTTCCACACAGAGATAATCCAGTGGACAAGGCTGTCCTACCTCAATTCCAAAATCATTAATTGTTGAAATTCATATATTAATTTAGGAAATGGGAAGGGATATTCAGGATGGAGAATTATATCCCATTACTGCTTTGGCTTAGCATGCTCACAGCCTTGGGTAATCAGTACATTTCCTAACAGAACAGATGATGGAAAGGAACTGGACAATATAGGAAGCTCTGGATCTAGGGAGTCAACAGCACTTACTACTGGAAATGAAGTTTCTATCATCATTTAAATACAAAACATCTGATTGGAAGGATTATTTTATAACCATGAAACATGTTTCTGTAATAAGTGCAGGCTGCATTATTACCCTTCAGTATTGCTGCAAATGAAATGAACTACATATAAAATAATCATTTTTACAAGGTTTTGTGCGTATGTGTGTGAGGCATCCCAGCTCCATTCCTGGATGTTTTACTGCCCAGGTAAAGAGGTACTTGCTGCAGAATAACTCAACACCTCCTCAACCAATTAAACTATTTTAAAGCATAAGGTTTGTGCTGGTGATACAGCTGCACATGCAATTTTGATTTTAATTTTTTGGGGTTTTGTTTTCAGGCAAAACCGGTATTCTTTTTCAATGGCCTGCAGAAAGTGCCTTCCTCACCTTTCACATCCCCTCAACAAGTGTCCCTTAAGCTAAAGGAAATTATTAGGATTATAGCATTAACCCAGGCCTTGCTGTTCCAAAATCAACATCATTATCATTTCTGGCCATTAAACCAGCTCTACATACTGCACTAAAATTATAGCAAGTAATTACTCTTCCACAGAGAAAGAAAAATAGCATGCCTTGCTTACACAAGAGATAAAAGAACAGATGTCCTTGCTTTGGTTATATCTTAATAGATTATCAAAGGGAAAATTAGCTTTTACCTGAAGCAAAAACACTTGCAAACACCGGCATATCCCAGACATATCAATGCCAGAATTTTTGCAACTGTGCTAATATTGTGGCCAATATTTTTTTCTTAAGCATTTGCTGTCGTAGAAAACCTGACAACCTGATCCTAAACATGCTTGTTGGGAAGAACATTCCATTCAGTTGATTGGGAATTACAGGAATTTTTGTTTATAACTCAGCCCAAGGATCAAACTGTTAACCTCTTGGAGGAAAAAATAAAATAGACTTTATTTACACACTTAGAGTTGAAAAAGTGTGTGTGGAGCAGTGTTAGGAAAGAAGGGGGGAATCTGATGCATATCTACTCAAAATTAGGTCCCATTGAGTTCAGTATTGCTTACACCCAGGCAAGTGTGCATTGGATTGCAGCCTTGAATTTGTTTTCCTCAAATTTATAATATTGCTTAGAAGTAGTATAAATTAAAGAACCTCACAGATAGCTGGAAGTAAAGGGGAAAAGGCAAAAAATCCCAATCTTAGCTTGCAACCCCAGGCACAGTTCCGAAGAATTGGGCGCAAGCGCATGCACTCCAAAGAAACTGATTTCTAGCCCTTTAGTTATAACTTGATCTTTTTTCCCTTGCCAAATGTCTTCAAAAAGAAAAGGAGAAAATAATCTCTTTAAAACAGTCTTTGAGACATTTGCATAATTTCCAATGACATTTGTATATTTCGCTAGAGGTCACAAAAAGTAAAAGGGTATACAGAATATTAATGCATTTCACTCGCAGAACGATCTTCATCTATTTTTATTATATCACAGAATTAGAAAAGACTTCTAAAAGCATTTAGCATGTGCTAATATTGCGGTCCTCTGATTTTAAAGATCTAAAAATGTTTGTTTGCCTGCTATAAATTCTAGCCCCATTCCACCTTGCAGTTTGGTCAAAAGCGGTAGAAAGTTTGAAAACAATAATAATACGCTGCAGTGGGAAAGGAAGTTTTGCTACGTGTTGCAAGTTCATGTGGCAATTTGCTTGGGGCTTTGAAAAAGAGAGCATCGAGAAAGAACAATAGTTTGGAAAGGCCGTTTCTCCCGTCTGCCAGCACAGGCATAGTAATGCGACTGCCCGTTCACACCATTTACACCAGCAGGGGCTGTGCAGGCCAAGCTGTTCCTAGGCACGACTGCCATGTTTCAGCTGCAAGTAAGAGCAAAGACGCCCACGATAAAGCGAATGCGCCTCATGCCTCCTACCTCGTTTTCACCCCTTCAAATTGAACCACTTAAATTCATGAAATTTATTAGATTTTAAATCTGGGACCACAGTTTATGTTTTCAGGAGTTTCCCAAAAAAAGAAAGCTTCTGTCCTTCCGAAAAAGACATCACATTTCCATACCACTTCCTCACCAAATGATTTTTAAGACCCCCCCATTCATAAAAGTAATTAAATAATTACATTGGTGCTAATTAACATGAAACTGAAGATTATTTAAGCACAAAAAACCCCCACTATTCAACTTCTTAATTATTCTTGTGCACACAGCATTTCCTTTTGCTCAGGCGCCCAAGGTGCAAATAAAGCATCCCATCTGCTCGTAATTAGAACTAAATAATTTCAGAGAATGCAGCTTATCATTTTGACTGCACATTTGATTAAAAACAGGGCACAAGCAACATCCCAGCTTATCGGTGTAATAGCAACAAAGCAGGCAAGCCCCATGTTCCCCCATCATTAAAGGAGACTGGAAACATTATCAGTTATTTCGAGGGGAGGGGAGACAGGAAGGGGGGGAGGAACGCAACTTTTTAGTTCATTTCATACAGATGAAAGCGAATTACAGCAAATCACCTCTCCACTGAATAGCGGCCTCTACATAATGACTTTATTTGCTTAATCCCCAAATTAAACGCTGTTTCAAGCGAAGGCCCTGCGTTATTACTCTCATCATGTTGACAACATTTTCCTGCCGAGACCAATTTGAATAAAACAAGGGCCTTCCTTGAACTCAATCAAGGAGTCATAATGTGGTGGGTAATAGAGGTTGCTGATAGATCCACAGACAAAAGCGTTATACCTAATGATGGGATATGGATAATGGTCCTCCTAGAGGTCCTGATGCGATTCCAGTTGGCGGCCAGATGCTAAAAATCAAGGGAAGGCATTGATCAGTGACAGGAGAAGCTGCAGCAGATACAATCCAGTCAAACTTCAGCTGTTTCCCCCACCCCACCCCACTTCTCCCACTGTACAGTTAAGCCAGGCATAAATTATATTAATTGATTTAATCACATACTTAAAACATCTTCCCCAATTAATTTAATTAGATGGCTACATGAAGCTACTGGCAGGGGAAGATTAGAGGCTGATCACTTAATTAACAGAATATGAATGAAAAAAACAGAAAGCAAACATAAATGAAATGGTGAGCACTAATTAAAAGCCCTGTCTGCAAACTTAAGTACTTTCTGACAAAGTAGTGACTGCCACAGAGGCAAGTGAGATGATTTGCCTGCACCAGATCCAGTTTGCACTATAGGTGCAAGAGGGAGGGGGGCCAGAGGAAACGGAGAGCAGAATTGGACGCGAAGGCAAGCACGGTCTGCTGCCACGAGCCGTGGCAGGGCACCAAGTTCCCCCTCTTCTCCCCTGCACTGTGCGCTTCCGGAAATGCAGTGCTTGTCCCGCGACAGTGGATTCCCCCCCCCCCTCTGCCAGAAGGCCAGGTGTGGAGGGAAAGAAGATGCATGGTATAAGGAAGGCATAGCCCATATTTCAGTATCCTGACATGGCTGCTATTTTCTGAACCGATGCCACACGCTCTGCAATGTCCCTCTTCCCTCCCAAGCCCTTCTCTTTTTGTGTTTCGTCTTTTGGATTATGAGCCTGAAGGCAAGGACTGACGCGACTGATCTTTGCAGCCCGATCTGGAAGTGTTTTGTCCTTGTACTTGGGTAAAAATGCAGCTGAGGAGGCGGCAAATGGCACTAAAAGTCTAGCTAGGGCCTCTGTAATGCATTCGAAGCACTGAAGTTATCTGTTCAACAAGGCCAACCTAAGTCAAAGGGAAAGAGGAAAAATATCCGATTTTGTGTAGAGTGACAAAAAAAAAGCAGTTCTCGGGGAGACTGGGGGGAAAGACTGTAGCCACAAAGACTGCACATTTAATGAAGCATGAAATATGCTCAGACAAGTGTAGAGTTAAATGGGAAAAAATAGGAGCATTTTATCGCAATCACTCAAGCAGGTGATGTTTAAAAATGGAGAATTGCCAAAACAGCTGTCAGCTTTGTGCACCTTGGCCCTGATGTAGAAATTCTCCAGGTGTCTCCGTCGTGATTCCTTCAGGGTCTTCCTGACACGCCGCATGTGAACACGCACAAGCCACGTGATGGCAACCACGCCGGACGCCCACTGCTGCTGCCTGAAATCGATGTAAGCTTTCCTGAATCGGTAGCACCTCCAGGTTGCCTGAATCTTGGTGGCTGCTGCTTCAGCACCGTGCTGGCCTTTGTATCTCTGGCCAGGCCGACTTAAGCGCTTCCTGACCGCTGTTCCGTTCTTGATCACCGAGAGGAGGTCCTCTCGGGTTGGCCTCTGGTTCAGTTCAAAATCCGGCACGATCTCCATGACCTTCTTCCCCCGGATGATGGCTGAGGGCACGGCATAATCCTTCAGAAGCTTTGCAACTTGCTCCAGGAAGGAAAAGGCACTTCCCCAAAACAAGCAGCAGTGCTGCTTGAACCCAAGGATATCGGAGCTGGTGCGGTCGACGGTTCCTTTGCACACAGGTATGTCAAATTCCAGAAACAGGTTCTGGAAAGCCTGAGCTGGTGTCACTTCTGGAGTCTATGGAAGGAAGGAACAGGCAACAGATGTGAAGGAGCCCTTCAAAAAGAAGCAGCAGAGACATGCAGTCCTATTTTTATTTATTATAGTTTGATCCCACCTTTTTCCTCAAGCTGCCCTACATCGTTCTCTTCCTCTTCCTCCTCTCAGTCTCACAACAGCAACCCTGTGAGGCAGGCAGGCAGGGCTGGGAGCCATTTTCAGGACAACCCCTGTCCACCCTGGCTTGCCACTGGGCCACCCCGGCCAGGAAGGGCCATAAAGGACTTCCTGTCTTGGCTGAGGCTTCACCTGAATGACGGATTCCGGCATGTTCCTCAGCTTTGCTTCATGGCTTGTCCCCTGGGCTCCACTCTCAGAAAACCTGACCCCTGCTCACAGCTCAGGCCAAGCCTTGCACCCCAGTCTGCTTGCAGAGCTCATGAGCCTGTGAGAGCTTCCCCATTTGCTCTGGCGAGGAAGGGAGCTCTCCATCCAGGGAAGCTCATTGCCCACAGGGCTCCAACGGGGAGGCACAGTCAGGTCACAGTCACCTGGCTTGAACCAGGGTGCTGTGTGGCTTGGTAGCCAGATACACAAACAACTAAACACCCAGCATTTTCAGGCTGGAAAGCGATGCATTACAGTACAGTCATACCTTAGGCAGCAAGGTAGGAGCACTGGCCAGCTCCTGCTTCTGAACTGCCTGAATTAACTGCCGCTTCTCTTTCTTGGGTGCCACAACCGAGATGCAGGATGGAGGCGGAGCAATGCTTCCTTTGCTTCCCCTGCTGGCGTAAGTGGCTGTGCGGGGAGGCTTCTCGCAGGGACGAGGGGCGGCTTCCACCTTCTTGCTCTCCAGACTGCTCTCTACCGAACCAATGAAATGCTTTAAAAAGGAAAGGTCAGACCCTTCACATCTCAGATCTCAAAACTCCCAAGCCAGCGGCCCAAACCAAAGGCGATCAAGGCCACATCCAGTTTATCGTCCACAATGGTCCTGAAGAAAGCCGCAACTCTACAGATCCACTGTGAACAACTACATGGTCACAGCTTTCCGCAGGAAGGAGGAGACAGGTTGCATTTCTGCCATAAAGGGGTGGAAGCAGAATAGATGCTCCTTGTGCCCAAATCTACCTGGAAGAAAACAAGGTAGATTCTGCTGCTGTTCAAGGCTGTGGCTGAGATACACCATGGGAGAGCCAGGAGGCTAAGCTTCAGCAGAGCAGAATGGCGGTTAGCCTTGGTTGCTGTAATGACTGGATTGCGGTTACAGGAATCCTGGCGAGCTCAAGAACGGCCGTAAGAGTGAGGCAGCTGGGAGTATGGAAGGGAGGGAGGAGTGGGTAGCACAGGGCAGGCAAAAAGGTTTCTCTGGGGAGCTACCCAAGAAAGCCTCCATCCACCCACCCTCATGGCTTGCCTGCGGCAGCCATCTTTTGTCCTTGCAGCCATCGCTGCTAGGACGTGATGGCAAATTGTTTTACTGGCATTATCAGAACCACCACTTTGTGTGTACCTGAAGTGGCTTTCTTGTACTTGGTGTGAAATTCATGCAGAAGAGCGGGTCTGGGTAGTACAAGAGGTTTCTCCAGCGTAATTCTAGCAGCACGTGGGATCAGACCCCTTTCAGTTAGACTCAGGATACCTAGATAGAAACAGAGAGGTTCAGCCAGTTATTTCAGATGCACCTTACCCTAGGAGGTGAAAATTCCCCCATCCTAAATCCATCCACCAATGTCAGTAGCCCCTTTCCCCAAGGAATGTTTTCAAGACCTACATATTTACCTTTAAAGGTAAAGAGGAGGGAGAAAGATGGGTGGAAAAGAGAACGCTCTGTCTTAGGGGGTCTGCCACCTCCCCCTACCCTTTTGGTTAAAGAGAAGGTAGGGGGATAGGTCAGAAAGATGGTACAAACGAAAGGCTTCTTTTCCTCTTTCGCCTGCTGTCCCTGTCGCCTGCAGCTGGAAGGTAATATAGAAGGGGAGCAAAAGATGCCCAGGACAAAAGGGACAGACCCTTCCCCACGCCCAACGCTCTCCTCCCTCCTGGCTCCGACTTCATACCATGCAAAGGCTGGACGGACAGTGGCTGCTTAGACTTTCTAGTAGGCTACTCAAAACTTGGCATGCGGGTTGTGGTGTGAGTTCAGTCACCCCTATTTAAAGTGGCCAAATGGTAAAACCAATTACCAAGGTGACCTGCCAAACAGACTACGCTGCTGCAGCAACGATAAAGACATAATCCCAAGAGGAGGCAGGAGGCTCAACTGACCTTTTTCTGCATCTGTTTCCGACACGGGCAAAACAGCACCAGCGTTGGTCGAATGGAAGGAAGATGGAGCAACAGAGAGATTGCCGACTGTGATACCTTTGACCACCTTCCGAGCTGGTGCCTAAGGAGAGAAGACAGAAAACTTCTTCCTTCAGTGGCAAACCTTTTCAGCATTACAGAGCTCTTGGCTCACGCGAGGCTAAATAATAAATAGTTCTGCTATGAATTGTTTCATTAAGGTTAATAACAAAAAACAGTACGAGCTCAGATTTTACTGCTTAGGAATATGGAACATTACTGTTGACTGTCAGCCGTTAATGTAATTTAAAGGAGAGTTAATTAAAAGCTAATCAATGTCTTGTGATAGCTGCTATGCAAAAAAATGATCAAATATTATTTAAAAGCTACATTTGGCCTTCTGCAAGAAGCTGGTTAGGTTTGGTGATTGCATTTTGTGAGCAGGAGGCTACTGCCTTGAAGCAATTGCCAGGGCAAGGCCAGCTGAAACTGCTCTCTGCCGTGGCTCCTGAACCGTCTGCACACGTGCCGTCTGTCCCTTGCCGATGTGCACTGCACCCTGGCGAAAGCCCCCCATCTCCTGGCCAGGGGCACACGTGAAGAGTGCATTGCCCCAGCCAACGGCTGCACGTGCTTGCTGCTTCCTGTCAAATTCACGAGTGGCAAAGCCCTGGGCTCAGGCTGACAATTTACCCCCGTTTCAGCGTCCAAAGGGGGGGGGGAACGCAGGTGTTGGGCTTGACCATCGAAGGCTGCTCAGTTTTCCGTACCACAGAAGTATCTTTAATCTGTAAGGAAGCAAAGGCCACAGCCGAGAGCTTCCAGGACAAGAGACATGGAGAATGCCAAGAGGGACACACACTGTAGCCCCTGCGCTCAGTACGCCACAGCTGATGATCCCTGGTGATAATCCTATCCTGCCCAAAAAAGGCCCAAAGGAAGGAGCCCCTCTTGAGAGCAAGCTGGCTGGCTGGGGTGAGTGGTCTGCAGAGATCCCACAGGCAGGAAAGCACCTTCCTGAGCGATTCAAGCGAATGACTCGCTCCAACACAATGGATTTGGCACGTCTAATTTCATGAAAACATTCCAGCAGGGAGAAACATTACTTCAGAACACAATTTTCAAAGGTTAGAACAGAGATCTTAATTTGGGTTGCTGGCAAACATTTACTCTGCATATTACGCCTGGAACTTGCTGCAGCAGTATTTTCCCTTATCTCAAGCAATTCTGTGTATAATTAATTTGAGGCATGAGACAAAAGCAGTCTATTAGTCCTTTTGAAGTGCATTCCTCTTGTGAATAAAAGCACCCTACTCAATTTGGTTATGTTTCTAGGCTTCAATTTAAGCAAAGTACCTTTTTCAAAGGATTTTCTGTTTTACTTGTTTTTCATTTGTTATCAGTTAAACAGTGTTGAGGCAAAACAACAATTCAAAGGCAGGGAAGAGGTGCTCAGCAAGCTGCAGAACACCAAACAGGAACCTGGCTGCTGTGCATGGAAGGCGCTTCCTTGTCTACATTCTACTTTCACAGCTGAGCAGCTGACAGACAAGTTCTCTTAGAACATCAACTCAATCTTGATGACACGACACAAGCGGAACATTTGGCTCAAGAATTCTGGCTGTTTGGTTGCTACTCGTTAGTGCCACTGATAAATTAGATAAATCATGAATTCATATTACCAGTTGCCCATGGAAATGATGCCACAAAACGAAGGACACAGTAAATGTCTAGTTCATGCAAAAATGCACACTCTCCCTCTGTGAGGAAACTGAATTCTCTTACTAGATGTCCGAGGTAACAAAATCTAGTGCATGTGTGTTTATTTCCTACAAAATGTTTCTGATCATGAGCAAGAGGAGGCACGGCAGATGAAAGGAATGTATACGATAGGTATACACAGACACTTTTAAAAGGCTTAAATTAGAACACTACAGAAGGATCTATCCTTAGTTACTCTTAATTGTTTATCTTAAAGATATGCACCTCTTTCCTAGGAACTGAGCCAGTCTTCCTTCCAACAGCCTTCTATAGTAGGCCAATATTAGTGGATAAGCACTCCAGGCCACTGGCAGGAATGTTGTTCCCTCCTTTCATTCAAAAAAATAGATACTTGTTTGGCAGAAGGCACTTTATTTCCAACACAGAGCCAACAAACTAATAACCAGAAGAGAAAGAGCCTCCGAGAATACACAGACCAGTTGATCTAGAAACTATTTTTGGGAGTTTTTTCCCCTCCTAGATCTATGCAGGCCTTCTAGTTGGCTAGCCCTTCTCTCTGGACACCACGTCACAGGGTCAGGAATCAGACCAGCCTCCTCTCGCTCCTCTCCTGGCACTTCCAAAACCCTGTCTGTTCCCAGGGCCTGCATGAACGCCCGAGGACAGTGGCCTCGAGATACGCAAGCTGTCCCTCCTCCGCCACCTCTCTGCCCACGGGCCTCATTTCCCAGCCCGGCCCATCCACATCCGAAGAGCCGTGTCACCCTGGCCCCAGAATCAAAGCCTCACCCATTCCCAACAGCCGCCCAGCGAACCCATGGCTCGCGTGAAACCGGCACGAGGGGCCTCGTGGCTCACTGTGCGTTCCGTGAACCACTGGGAAGGCTGTGCGGCCTCTCCAACAAGCCAGGGCCGCTCCCTGCCCGTCACTGCACGTGCGCACCAGCCTTTCCTAGCTGAAAGCCTGTGCTTCCCCCGAGTGCGCCGGCCCAAGGGCTCCGCTCTAGCAGGTGAGATGTGCAGGAGCTGGATGCGCCACAAGTGCTTCGCGGAAAGCTGAAGCAGAAGCGGCACAGGAGGAGGCATGCGAGCTCACGCTGGCTCCGGCAGCCACACGTCTCTCTTGCGGGCAGAGGGCCAGCCTGCACCAGGCAGGATTGGCCAGCACGGCTTATTGGAATTCCGGGCTGGGCCCCCATTCTTGTCCGGCGACAGCTGTAAGCCAGCAGCCCATAGCATCTCAATCAGGCGCCGAGTCCCAGCAAGGAATGCTGATACGGACGGCGGCGGCCTCAGCTGCACTTCGCCTTGCAGAATGACAGTCAATCTTGAATTCCAGATGACAAGAACTGGATAAAAAATGTAAAACAAATGGTGACCTTTCCAAAGATTAATTTGTTTACCAACAAAAAGCTCTCTGTTTGTCATCTAGGATGGGTGACCTTCACATTCCCATTTCTAGGTTGAGAGGAGGCTGAATGTAGTCATCTGTTCACTTAACTCTGCCTCACCAATTATTTCCTTTCTTGTTTTTGGTGAGAGGGACACTTTATTAATTTGTTGTTGTCTCTTGATATGTTCTATAAATGCAGGAAACGTATTCCAAATTACTGCAGCGGAACATCAATTTATTTAAGTCTGATTCTGTTACTGATGCCAAAAGTATGGTTTTCTTTGTAATTGCAGCATGCTTTGAATGTGCATCTGCTTTTTTTTCAGATCTTAAACCTTTCCTGTCCACTCTGCTGTCCACTCACTTGGAATGAAAGAAATTGTTTTATCGCCATTATTTGAAAAATTTATGTATGTTTCTTACAAGAGATTAATTCATATACATGTGAATATTGTATACACGCACACAGGATAAAAACAAGAAGAGCGAAACGAAGCAACTGGAGTAACTTAGTTAAACGGGCAGCAGAAGACAGCAGCTCGTAAAAACTCGAGACACCCACAGCATTAAATTCTTCCTCATGAATAAATGAAAAGCTCCTAAGTTTGCACATAGTTTATTTATTTACGGGCCGGGATCAAAGTGCCAGTATAAGACTATGGCCATGCAACAACCTTATGAAAACGAGAACAATAGAGGGCTCCTTCCAGGTCATCATAATTATTTCAATTCCCTTTCTGGCAGTTCCAATGGCTATTTTGCTTACTGTATGCTTCACGACCAAGCTAGGCAACTCATTAGGCCATTTCAGAAATCACTGGAGAAGGAAGTGTTAGAGGACTGCACCTAATTTGCATTTCTATGATGCACACAATTAACATAATTTGCATACTATTTTAATTAACACTGCTAATCTGCATAGTGTGGCCACATGTAATTAACATAATTTTGTGTACTCACAAACACTGCTAATCTATACATTTTAATTGCTTGCAATTAACATAATTTGCATGCAATTTTAATTAACAGTGCTAATTTGTATATTCCCATTGCCTGTAATTAACATAATTTCTCATTTTCACAAATACTGCTCACTTGTACCTCCTAGTTATATCATTAATACAACTTGCAGATAATTTTTCACAAACACAGCTAAGTTGCACAGTCAGGTTGCTTGTAATTAATATGGCGACTCAGCAGTGGCCACAGGATTGGGAAAAGTCAGTTTACATTCCCATCCCAAAGAAGGGCAATGCCAAAGAATGTTCAAACTACCGCACCACTGCACTCATTTCACATGCTAGCAAAGCGATGCTCAAAATCCTACAAGCTCCAGCAGTATGTGGACCGAGAACTACCAAAAGTACAGGCAGGACTTCGAAGAGGCAGAGGAACTAGAGATCAAATTGCCAACATACGCTGGATCATGGAGAAAGCTAGGGAGTTCCTACTTCTGCTTCATTGACTATGCTAAAGCCTTTGATTGTGTGGATCACAACAAATTGTGGCAAGCACTTAAAGAGATGGGAGTACCAGACCATCTCATTTGTCTCTTGAGAAACCTGTATGTGGGTCAAGAAGCAACAGTGAGAACTGGGCACGGAACCACTGATTGGTTCAAAATTGAGAAAGGAGTTTGGCAATGCTGTATACTGTTGCCCTGCCTATTTAACTTATACGCAGAGCACATCATGAGAAAGGCGGGCCTAGATGAATCACCAGTAGGAATTAAGACTGCTGGGAGAAATATCAACAACCTCGAATATGCAGATGATACCACTCTAATGGCAAAAAGTGAAGAGGAACTAAAGAGCCTCTTGATGTTGGTGAAGGAGGAGAGTGCAAAAGTTGGCTTGAAACTCAACATTAAGAAAACAAAGATCATGGCATCCAGTCCTCTCACTTCCTGGCAAATAGATGGGGAAGAAATGGAGGTAGTGGCAGATTTTATTTTCCTGGGCTCCAAGATAACCGCAGATGGGGACTGCAGCCAAAAAATTAAAAGACACTTGCTCCTTGGGAGGAAAGCTATGGCAAATCTAGACAGCATACTAAAAAGCAGAGACATCTCCCTGCTGACAAAAGTGCTTATAGTCAAGGCTATGGTTTTCCCGGTTGCAATGTATGGCTGTGAAAGGTGGACCATAAGGAAGGTTGAGCGCCAAAGGATTGAGGCCTTTGAATTGTGGTGCTGGCGGAGACTCCTGCGAGTCCCTTGGACCTCAAGGTGATCAAACCGGTCAGTCCAAGAGGAGGTCAACCCTGACTGCTCTTTAGAAGGCCAGATCCTGAAGATGAAACTCAAGTACTTTGGCCACCTAATGAGAAGGAAGAACTTCCTGGAGAAGAGCCTAATGCTGGGAACAATAGATGGCTAAAGGAGAAGGAGACAGCAGAGAATGAGGTGGCTAGATGGAGTCACTGAAGCAGTTGGTGTGAGCTTGAGTGGACTCCGGGGGATGGTGGAGGACAGGAAGGCCTGGAGGAATGTTGTCCATGGGGTCGCGATGGGTCGGACACGACTTCATGACTAACAACAACAAACCTTTACCAAATAGTGCTGACTGTATATTATAATTTCAAACAGAGCTGGAAGAAGCTACATCCCTAGAAGCGAACCCTGGTGCAAAATGACAAAGTGACTGCAGTTCGTTGCAACGGTTACCTAAATGTGACTGGATGCAGTGGCAGGCAGGCCATGACCTAAGAAATTTAAGGACACACGAATAGCCAAAACCCTCTTCCACTGAAAGCACCAAAACACGACAAAAGAACTAAACATCCGTTGCGACTGTAAGCAAGCCAACGGATTCCTCCAAAGCCCCTCGGAGGCCTTCCGATGCCTGTGTGCGGGGGCAAGTTTTGGCCCGGCAACAATCTTGGCACCAGGCAGGCCACCCCTGAAAAGGCCCCTCCCACAAGATTGCTGTGCCACGCTAGGTTCAGGCCAGGAGACGGAATGGCGATCCACAGCAGACAGCCTGTTCGGATGGGTCACCCTCTCTTTCGTGTTGGACGCGTTGCTGGCAAGGGCAGCAGTCCTGGATGCTCGGGGCGTCTTTGTCCAGCCTCGGTGCCTGGTGCCCCACCTCCAAGGAAGGTCAGATCAAGCCCCAGTGATGCATGCCTTGGCCACCTCTTGTTAAGTTCACTCTAGTGCAGCTTTCCCCAACCCTGGGCCCTCCAAGCACATTTGGACTGCAAGACCCAGAATTCCATTAATGGCCCTGCAGGATGGGAATTCTGGGAATTGCAGTCCAAATGCCTCCAAAGGCCTCCAGGTTGGAGAAGGCTGCTCTAGTGCACTAGACTGTACAGCAGCTGATGCAAAATGCAGCACAATTACACTGCTCCCTGGTGCGTGGCTCTTTAACCCCGACTGCACTATCCTCTGTGAACTGAACTAGCTTCCGCTGAGTTTCCAGGCCCAACTCAAGGAGTAGGTGCTTATACCTGTAAAGTCCTAAACAGCTTAAAGACATAGAGATAACCTCTCATAAGGCAAGATCATCTTCAGAAGCCTTGGTTCTACATTCTACCACTAAAAGAGGTTTGGCTGGGGGGCAGCACCCTAGTTGTGGAAGGTGAGACAATGACCCAGTTTCACATAATCAGTGGAGCTTGGCATGGCTTACGTAAGCCACAGGAGGCTGTGGCGTTTGCAGGCGGCTGTTCTGAATCTCCGTTCTCCGGTGAGGGTGCGCAGGGTTTGCCATGTTGGCTGAACCCTGGTGGCAGGGGCTGCATGTTCCTCTGGACATTGAAGAAGGCAATAAAGACACACTTATTCCACTTGGCTTTTGTGTTTAAATGAAAGATTTTAACTTGGCTTTAACATATATGCCCGCCCGCCCCCTGAGATCAGTGGGAGAGGCCCTTCTCCGGGAACCCTCCGTGAAGGATATTAGGAGGGTGAGTACCCGGAGGGGGGGCCTTCTCTGCGGTGGTGCCCAATCTATGGAATGCGCTCCCCAGAGAGGTCCGCCTGGTGCTGTTGTTATTTGTTTTTCGGCGCCAGGCGAAGACCTTTTTATTCAAACGTCATTTTAACTGTTAATAGTATTTATTTATTTTATTCTTTGGCCAGGGCGACTTATTTTACATTGTTAACTTTTTTTATATTGTTAATTTATAGTATTTTAATTGATTTATTTGTAAGCTGCCCGAGGCTTCGGCGAATGGGGCGGCACAGAAGGTTTCTAAATAAATAAAATAAATAAGTAGCTTCAGCAGACCCAATTAAAGCCAAGAAGACCATTTTCTGAATAATGCATTATCCATAATAACTTCCAAGATCCAAACTGCTACCTATTGTAAACATAGAGCTAAAGAAAAGTAACCACGAATAGCCTGGGATCTCAAAGAAAAGAGGTAAGCGTACTTCGCATATGCAAGACAATCACCAGATTACCACCACATCACAGGGTAAGAAAGGTCACTCTGCATTCTATCATTTCACACAGAAAGCTTTCAAACAGACTCTGTTCACACATTTGGCTCCTGGTCATCAAGGGGATCAAGTTCAAAGAAACCAGCATGTATGAACCAGTCCTTAGGAGCTCCCTGCTGCTCCTTCTTGAGGAGGAGTGTGGCTCAGGTGCTGGACTTCTTGAACCTTCTGAGCAGGATCTTCTTCACAAAAGAAGAAGAGCTGCTGAGAATACAAAACCACCTCCATTGTTCCAAGGAAGAATTTACAACAGCTCAATTTTGCAATGAACAAACAGTTAAAGCATATTAGTTACTTACAGGAGCTGTTTTCCTCTGCTTAATCAATGGCAAGCTGATTCCATAGTTCTGATTTAGAAGTCTTTGGTGGCAGGCATTCTGCGGATCATTCATAATCTTCGCGATCATTGAAAGCTTGTGCTATAAGCAAAATGGAATCTATGTGAACCCAGAAGAAGAGGAGCGGGGAATGTTTCCCTAGTGCAAGTCCTGATGATATTTTGCACATGTATTGCTCGTGTTGCATTCCAGGGCACTGCATGGTGGCTTCTGGGCACTTGGTTTAGTGCACCAAAGGCAGCCAGCAGTGACAAAAACAAGCAAAATGACTACGCAGAACGAGCGTGAGCTTTACTGTCTGCAACAAATGTGTATGTTTTGTACGGTTAAGGGAAGATGGGAAGAAGACAAAGAAGAGGATGAGGAGGGAACAATATAGCGGTACCCTGACTTTTGTCCTTCTATCACCCAACTCTCAGCTGCTACAGTCCCAGGTGTGGCTTTTGGCCAACTTCCTTCCTTCATTTATTATATTTGTGTCAGGCTATTTTTAACTTTCAAGGAGCACAAACCCATTCACACAATTCTCCTCCTCCTCCTCCTCCTCTGAATCTTAGCATCACAACAACAGGCCTGAGAGTCTGCCAGTGGCCCAGAGTCGCCCAGTGAGCTCTATGGCTGAGGGGACGAGAACCTGGATCACCCAAGTCCCAGTCCTGCACTCTTCACGGGCTCTCACGCTCGAGTCAGAGAATTCTGGGCTTGGGTGCTGGCAGCCCACACCCAACCCTGCTCCGCCTCTGCGGCACTGGTCGCCCCTCCCTGCCAGTGCCAGCTAGCCTGCATCGGCTGGAGGCGTGGCTACCTCAAGCACTGGTGTCCAGCACCCCAAGCAGCTCTTTTACAGTCAAGGTAATTTCATTTCTCATGTGTATTTTAAATTCTTTGGTTGAGAAAACAGCTTTAATATAAGCACCTTTTCTCTACTGTAACTAAATAACTGCCCTTAAGGGTCTTGTACCTCCCACCCATGTCTGAATTGCCTTCTGCCTGTTATGAGTTCTCTTTTCCCCACCACCATCGTCCCACACTTTACACTTGCATCTGGGCTCCTGAGCAAAAACATACCTTTTTAAAAATCAGGATGTTTTTAAAGTAAGACTTTGAGCATGTGCAGTTTACATTTTAGACTTAAAGCCCCTGCATGATGACAAGGCCAATTTTCCTCCCATCCCCTGCAACGCTTAACGCATTTGGAACAAGCACCCCCTTGTTGGAGAAAAGGAGGCTGCCTGATCTGCAACCAAGCATGCAGTGCCTAGCCCACCAACCCCTGGCTATTTAATTGACTGTAATCCAGGCCAATTTAGCAGAAAATAAATTTAATAATAATACATTCAATACATAAAAAGCAGGTAGAGCTAAGAAGTAAGGAAGTTGTGACAAGCAGTGTCAGCCCCAGTGAGATTAAATTCTTCAGCAAAAACCAACCATTTGTATTAAATCTGTTGCTAGCACCCTTGTGTGCATGCACTTAAAAAAACAGCAACACTGAAACTCTCTGGGTGCTGAATAAGCTAGAAATTCCTATTCTGCAGGGGTGAAATGACACAACAAAACATTTAGACCTTTAATCAAGAACAGTGATACCTCCCTGTAGCTTTCTTGAAAACATGGCATAGAAAATTAGCACAAGTTTATTCCCCAGCTGATAAGCAACAAGCAGAGCTGTTCTGAGCTGACCAGGTATGAGAATATTGACTTACTGATATAGGCTAAAGTTTGGAAACCAAAAGGATTCAAGCTTTTGGTCCAAACAAAGCCCTAACGTAAAGCCGTCCAGAGACAACAGTGATGGATGGCCTATAAATCTCCTAAATAAATAAATAACGTAATGAAGCACCTCATTTAAATTTCATTTGTTTTGAAGATTTCTATGCCACTTTCAAGAGCTGGGTTTTCACTCATATGCATTTTCATGCCATCCTGTGGCCAGAAGCGGAGAGCAGGGAGCAAATCTCCTATCCGGATTTCATAGCTATGCAATGGTAACAATATCCTGCCAATGTGCCAACCTCAGAGAGCAGCTAGCCAAATAGAAGACATCTGCTTTCTCTTCCAGGCCAGTCACTCTCAGGGCAACGCGACACAGGCAGGCAGTGCCACTCCAACCACTCGCAGCAAACCTCCGGCAGGATCCTACCACAAAACATGCTACCCTGAGTGCGGCTCATGTTTTGCAGTCCCAATGCCTGAATCACCAGCATTCGAAGCAACGCCCGGTCGACTTGCCATACCATTCGAGTCAACCCGTGCAAGATGTCACACAGTGCAGCTACTTCCATGCTACTGGTGAGGCAAGGACCCTGGAACCGGATGTGATATCCACGTTCTGACATGCACAGAAAAGCCAGGACTTAGCCTGAAGACTTAAGAGCCTTGGGTTTACCTGATGAAACAACCAATGGCTAATAAGGAATGTGGGAAGTACAGAAGCAGGTGAGCTTTCTGGCTCCAAACTACTCTCCTGCAAACCTAGAACTCCAGGCAGCTGAAGGTTCAACCTTGTGGGCTCCTTCCCCATCAACAACCCAGTGATCTGGACTGGCACATCCCTGAGCTGTTTTTACACCAGAAGCAAGTGAACAATCAGGAGCCAGCACCCCCGCCTGCTTCCAAACAAATGGTGGTTGATTCTACCATGTAAACCAAGCAGGAAGGCTGTCCAAGAGAGCACCTGGGGTAAGGGGAACAGTCAGGGGCACAGCATGGCTACAAAACCATTGGAAGGATGATGCAACACATATTGCGTCACACCTTTGAAGCTGAAGGGATTTTCAGTGATGAGCTGACACACTTAGTGGCAACTGGGGACACCTCTGGGAAAATTATTTCTTTCTGAGAAGACTCCAACGGGATCCCCCTGAGTGAAAGAATGAGAGAAAAGAATGAAATCGTAAGGAGTTGCAAGATCTGGGCCAGTTTCAGCACTATTTCTGTCCCTGGAAGACATAAAACTGTTGCAATTCGGGTGAACGGTGACTATGTTTAACTCTACAAAAATACACAGAAATCTGAGAATTGCAGGCAACATTAAATGCAACCTACTCAGCATTTAATGAACACAATTATTCCATGTCAACAGCTTTTTTTTGGGAATGAACTGTCCAGAGAACTTTGGTTATTGAGTACTATAGAAATAAATTTGTAGAAACGTTCTCAGAACAGTACAAATAACCACACAGCGCACTTATTCCAATATTTTATTTATCAAAATACACAAGTCAAGTCCTTTTTGTTAAAGATTCAACAAACCTAATGTTCTCACCATTTGGAAATCTGTCTTGAACACAGGTCCACATGATCAGTTGATGAAATAGTTAATACAGATGTGTTCATGGCATCCAAGTATTTCTCAACATGCTTCTGTTTAGGGACAGAGTGAAAAAGCAGACTATTAGGGTTTTGTCAGAACTGAATGAGCTAAAGAATCTGGCCAAATTTAGCTTCTGAGAGTGAAGTGAAATTATAGGATCTACATTTCTAAGAGATTATGCCATGTCTAACACAAGAAGCCATCCAAATGCTGGCCACTCAAGAAGTGCAAACATGGCTCAGCACGACAGTATTTGGCACATCAACATCTTTACTGTAAATATGAGATTAGGCACCATCATCTGAGAAGGGAAATACTAATTCAGACTTTACTAGAACCTTTTTTCCTTTGCCACTAGAAGACTTTTGCTCCATTTACCCGCAATCTACTCTCTGTCCTTTCAATTGCAGCTTCCAAGCTCTGAACACCCACTGCTTCCTGGTCATGTTTCGCAATCCGTAGTTTCTCTTTCAACTGTTGAAGATCATCCTGAACCTAGAAAATTAGTTGAAGCTTTGCAGTAAACATGTGCATCATTAGAAAATATTTATGCATTTTGCTATAATGGAAAGCAAAACAGATTTCTTAAGCATAACATACAAAGTTGCTTCTGGGAACCTGACAATCTAATAGAACACGGAAAGGAGATGAAGCAGGTTGAAGTCTAGCAAAGCTAGCTTCTGAAGTGGTGAGATGGGGCAAAACATCACCACATATCTAGAACAGAAGAGGCTTTTAACTATCTTCTCGTATGAGGTGGGTTGCAATTCTACGATCATGATTGAAAGACCCCAAACTCAGAGACTTATGGTTATCCAGTGCAGAGTATTAGTGCTGAGGGTGATTCCTACCTCCCTGCCTTACATTTTAGCCATTTTGCATTAGCTGGGGTGTTTAGAGGGGAGGAAGCTGGAGAACAGGATTGCTCATATCCTGGCCGCTTCCATCGCCTTTGCTCCCTGCCCACCAGAATGCCCCATTTCCCTGTCTCGGGCTACTTGCCTTTCCTTGAACAGCCCAGCTGTGAGTGGGAAGGCAGGTTGGACCTCCAATTCCTTCCTCTTGCACTTACAGCACTCTGTCCAACCCTGGAGCTGGGAACCCAAAATATCCTGTGACTACTCAGTTGCTATCTAGAGGTTGTAGGGTCCCCCCTTCCCCAGGAAATCCTATACATCTCTTAACAACAGCAATAACAAAGAAGTCCTACAATCCCCAGCATTCCTCAGCCAGCCATGCTGGAGTTTGTAGGCCTTTTTTCTGGCCAAACATGGATAAGATCGCACCTTAGGCAGCAATCTGGGACACATAGCCAAGGAAGTACATTTGTTGAATGCAACAGGACTTTTTTAAATGAACCTGCACGGGAGCAGCTGCCATGACTGCAACTCTGTGCACACTCATCTGGAGCGAAGCCCTATTGGACCGAATGGGGCTTGCTTTGGTGCAAACATGTTTAGGACTGTACTGTCAGGTCTGCAATCCACAACCATCCAAACTGCTAGTCATCTGTAGCTGAAACCGCTGGGCGGGGATCCAGCCAGGCCCCTCGTAAGCCTCACGGCTAGGCCGAGAGCGGTGCAGCACGTCCTGCCCCACATTAAGGCCAGCAGTCCAGGTGCCATACAAACAGCAGGCGCACTCCAGCCCGGAGCGAGGCATCCTGGGAAATCTGAGGGAAGACGGGATAGCAACAGAGGCTCATGGGAGTCTGGTCAAGCGGTCTCCTGGCCGGCCAGGCAGGAGGCTCTGCCACCCGCCGTCGACCCACCTGGGCTAGAACGCGCCCTATCTCCGCCCCCGGCCCGACCACCTCGGCCATGGCCCCCACGGCGGGACCCCACCAGCGCGCGGCGGCCGTGCGACGCGCCACGTGACCGCGACCTTAGCAACGGGACGCGCGGCTCGGGCGGAACCACTTGCCCCTCTTCAGGGGAGGGGAAGAGCAAAGAGAAAACGTACCTCTGAAGGGAAGGGGAAGAGCCTCGGCACTCTGTCCCTCAGCGAGAGCGAGGAGACAGGGACAGAACGAGAGGAGCCCCCACGAGGGCTTCCCGTCCCCCAAGCGAAAGCTGCTATTTACCTCGTTACCCCGTCGGCGGCACCATAGTGGTGCGTCCCAACGGAACGGAAAAGGTGGGACACGCACCGGAAAAGGAAGCGCAGGGCCGCCTCGGACGGACCAGCGGGCGCCATGGCCGTCCCTTGCGCCTTGATTACGAGCTGCGCCGCGGGGTTCCCCGGGGAAGAGCTGGTGAAACGTGAGTCGGCTCAGGGCCCGCGTCCCTCGCGTGTCCAGTCCGCAGTGACGTCATCTCTCCGCGCCGCCTCATGGCCCTGGTTCTTTCCGGCGCCTCAGGAGCCGCCCCCCCCCCATGCGCACGGTGCTGACAAGCAGCCCCTGAGCATGTGCTGCGTGCCGGCCGCAAAGGAAGGCTTTGTAAGGATTCCCGCTCTGGGCGCCCCGGTGGACATGCCTCCTGTCGCACGAGAAGCGGCAAGGAGGCAGCGTTGATGATGGCAGGCTGCGGCCAAGCACGCGCAGGCCCCACTCCTCACCCCAGACTTGCCAAGTACTGAATAATACCCGTGTGCTTACCTTCTGGGCGCCTGGAGACGGTCCTCACATTTGTCTGGAAAGACTACGTCGTTCCTAGAATCGTAGCTTTAGAATAGACGGTAGGGAGCAGCTAGTACAACTGTTAGCAAAAAGCAGGGCGGGCCACGTAGGAAGCAACTGCAGTGACCCTTGCAGAGGGTCAACCAGAGGCTAGTTAAATACTTACATCGAAAAAGGGTGAGGCACATGACTAAGCAGTCTGTTCCATGGTCAAACAGGGGGTCCCAGTGGCAAGTAACCCCCCTCCCCTCTCCAGCAGATTTAGCCAAGACATTAGAGGTGCAGTCCTTTGTCAGAGCTTAAGTGACCAAACATCATGAATTAAAGTAATGTTCTCTTTGAGATAAGGGAGTAGTCTGCACATGTGAAAAGTTGCATTCCCTCTCCCCCTCATCCAGAAAGATCTTCACCCTCACAGTGGCTCCTGCTGCTAGAAGGCAGAACTCCAGACATGTCTTAATTGGTCCACTTGCTTTGCATGTTAGATCCTTACAGGGTCAGAGAACTCCCCCTCAATCTGCTCCCCACCTACTTCTGAAATGTCTCTCTCCTTTGCTAAGGTAATGCTTGTTCTCAAGCTCTGACTGTCTTCATTTGGTAACCTGAAATTGTTCAGATGGATTAGTCCAACTCTGAAGAGAAGGTAGAGCACTTTGCAAAGTGTATCTTGAAAGAGCTGAGCTAACCCTATTCTGTTCTGGAATAGCTACATCAGTTGGCACGTCTGTATTTGAGCACACCTACCATCACTTCCACTTGTCAACATTTGCATATTTCTGGCCTTCTCACACCTCACTTGTTCTCTAAAAATTCTCAGAAATCAAGCAACAAGCTTCTCCAATATCCTGAGACAAATATCATCTGGCCCTGGAGTCTAGAATTTATTTAAAGTAGCTGCACAGTCTCTAATGAGTTCCTTACTTTCAATAGCTTCATTTAGTGGAAACTCACTATTCCAACTTCCCCTTCCATACCTTGTTTTTCCTTTTCTCCACCATTTGTGCAGAATGTTCTCCATTACTATTCCAAGTACTTGTAGCTTTTCTATGCCATTTCCTTATGTTCAAAACCATGAGCTGAAAGTCTAGTAAAGTGGTAGTTCAATAGAGTAATAGCTGAACACCCCCCAAGTGCAAATTTTTCTCCATCACACATCTGTGCAGTGAAAAATCATCACTCCCCTTGTACCTCAAAGGGATCAAAGGGCTTGGTGCACCCTTTGTCTAGGGATGCAAGCATGCATAATAGCTGCAGGATGCCAGAAGCCCTAGGATGGTTCCCTGTCTGTCCTTGCATAGGATTGAACCCTAAGGGCAGACAGGCTGTCCTCAGAGTTGATGTGCAGAGTATTTTCCTGTCAATTTTCTGCTAAACCCCCCAAATTCCTTCCCAAATCATGCACTTCTAAGATAGCGCATGTAGCTACTCCCTTTGTGGTGAGAATAAGACTAAATACCACATCCCTTATAAGGAACTAAGAAGCACAGTATGTCAATAAGTATTTATTAAACACAGCTGGTCCCAATTTGCTGGGCCAAATTGGGGGAAGAAGAAAGCAAGGAGTAACAATCTGACTGGAAAGCATCTATTTTTTCCACTCCTTCCCCACTCCAGTTTAAAATTATCCAAAAACTTTAAGCTCTGGTAACAGTTTATTTCCCCCACAACTCCAGGAAAATTGTTTATTTTAGCAAAACATTGAAATATGTGATACTTGGATTAACACACTTGCATCATGCATAGCTTTAGCAAGTTAAATTGTATTTTTAGTATATCTTCGAAATTCAAAAGCATAAGCACCTTGATTTCATCCAGACAATTTTAGCATGCCCAGTAATAGGCTGCAGGAGATTGTAACCATCTTTCTAAGGCACCTATATCTTACATTTTCACCACTTGGAAAAGCAGCAATACAATACAAGAATAGAAACAGTCAGTTTTACAGTAAGCAAACAAAGGTTTTGTCTGACCTTATAAAAGGGCCTAAGTTTTGTAGACTTTGGGCTTGTGTTTCTCAAGGAGCACCCTTCCTTAGTTCAAGGTAATCTTACTTTGAAACTCAGGAGAATTTAATAGCAGCATTGCTTTAATATGTATCATTCAAAATACAGGGTGGGTACATCAATGATCCCACTAGACATACTAACCCCTGGGGCTTGCGTGGCATTCCTCTGTGGATCCTGGCTGGGGCAGACTGTGTTGTTGTCAGGGAGCACAGCTGGGACTCGGGCAGCCCAAGACAAAGGTAATACAGGCACCAGGAAGACCGGTGCTGCTGAAGCAACATGCAGGAGAAACACAAAGGCCTAAACTGCTAAGACCAGTTGGGAAGGAAGAGCTTGAACATATATATCTCCTCCCTCAGGACTCCCAGCTGGTCCTTATCAGTAGCATGAACGCTCCAACAGGGCTTAGGACTGATCCTGCAAATACAGTGGTGGTAGTGGTTCTGGTTCTGGCCACTAGAGCAGCCTAGATCCTGAGTTATCTTGGAGAAACAGGAAAAACCTTTTCCTTACCTTTATAGCCTGCCTTTTCTCCAAGAAGACCCTGCAGGCCCCTCCTCTTCTTCCTCTCCATTTTATGTCACCCAAGCTGACATGGCCAGCTCTCTGTGGGTGGACTATGGCACATGCAGCTTCCATTTTGAGTATGCAAGTCTCCTCGCCTCCGTTTGGGGGTTGTGCGACATCATATGAACCCAGCCATCAGGCAACAGCCATTGCATAAGCGCATATTAATTGAGGGTTGTGAGTATTCAGATCAGCCACATTTGCAGCAGCTCCTTGGGGATGAGACAGCTGCTCTGGGCAACCCAGGCTGGGGAGTCCCACGGTGTGCCACTGAGCTGCTTCTCTGAGGGGAGGGGAGATACAGCCTGGACCTCCAAAGCCCCTAGTCTTGCTTAAGTGGAAGGATACTTCAGTTTAGGTTGCAAGGGTCATAGTAACTCCCTACAACATCCTGCACCTATATGTAGTTTTGTATTTCTATACCACTTTTCCTAATAAATCACCTAGCCTTGAAAATAATAGCACAACTGACTTATTTCTCTAGTTGGAATCCATGATCTATAGCTTCTGATCTAGGGTTTCACTTGAAGCTTCATGGGCTTTAGAAAACAGAAGGTTTGCCTGAATTGAAACAAGCTTCTCAGTTATTTGCAGTAGCTTGTACCTTGATTTTGTGAGTGCCTCTTTGAATGTGGGTCTGTATTTCAGTTATTACAGAAGATGGAGGAATTGGGGGGGGGGGAGAAGCAAGAGATGTCAGAGGTTGTGCTGTGCAGTGCCCCTCCCCCTTGCCCCCCATATCGCAGGGGTCATAAGCATGAAAGGCTCCCAGTGCATCTAAATGTGTTCTGCTTTCTATAATGGTTGAAAGAAATTTCCCATCATTAGATCCTATTGCTTGTTTAGTAATTCAGCCAAGGACCACAGTGAAGTCGTTACTATCATTAGCATTGACTCTTGGGACTAATATTTGCAGTAGGAAGAAGGACTTACAGCTGTATTATTTTAAAAAAACAACAACAACAACCCTCCATCCAAATGATGGAGATTACTAGTATTTCTTGTAAAAGCTAGAAGTTCCACTTTGCAGGAATTCATTTGTTATCCTAAAAGATGCACAGTAAAGCATTCATGATAATGGTTTCACATGAGGCATCCATGGAATTAAGTGCTGCAGTTACACAGAAAATTAAACAATGAAAATTGAATTACAAACTGATAGAATCTGTGTAGCAGAAATTTTTTGGGGAAAAAAGCAGAATTATGCCAGCAAACATACATTCCTATGGAACAGGAAAATTGCAGTTTTAGTCTTAGCAAGAGGTTTCTCTTTTGTCTTGTTTTGTTACTTTGTTTTGTTGTTTTTGCTTGATGCTATTAAAATTGTAGCTGCAAAGGTTTCTGGACACCTACCTTCTTGTAGCTTTCAGGGAGAGTTCCACCAGGTGGCTCTCCAGACACACAAAGGAGTAACGGTTTGCACGCACAGGCACACACACCCCAACAGAGGAAAAGAGGTGCCATCCCAGTCAGAGCATCTGAGAAAATGTAGCTGCTTCTGTGGCAAAACAAGCTAAACACCAGGCAGAAACACTGTTTAAGGGCAGGCCAGAGGGAATTTGCAAGAGTAGTTTTGAAGCATTAATAGTTCAGCCTGTTATACTATACCAAGGATAGTATATACCAAGTATTTAATGGAGTCAAGACAAGAAGTGGATGCAGCAAGCTGGAATTCTGCTTCTGCATGGTCCTTTCCCCATTCTCCTGCTTTGGCAGTCTTGTACAAAGCCTGGAGCACATACCTCATCACACAAAACAGTGCAATAAGCAGTGAGGTATCCTAGGCACGTGTATTAGCACTTTCAGGTCATTTGCTGTCCTTGTTTAACAGGGTTGGAAGTGGCGCTGAAATCTGCGGGATTCTGATGTGCACATAGTGTGACAAAAAATACAAACACAGCTGAGGCCACATAGAATAAATTGGTATGACACTGTAACCCGGAGAGCTCAAGGAAGATTGCAGCACCATTAGTGTTATACGTCGGAAAAGTTGCATCTTTCCAGAAACCTGCAGGAGGTGATGACCATTTCATTGATGCAGAAGAAGAAAAGCGAGTCTGGCTTAGTTGGGCCTCTGGCCAAATGTTGCATTCCCCAAAAGGTGCCGTAGCTGAAGCCTCCAACCTGGATGCTGCCTCCAGGCCAAGGGAGCGAGGGAAGCAAGGCAGTCGGTTGGCCCAGGGGCTTTAGGGGGTCTCCCCTCTTAGTTCTCTACTCTTCCATGCTTTGTTTCTGGGAGAAAACACTTGAGTACAGAAACCTTTTGATGTCACACGTTCTCGGCCAATGCTGGCCTGGGCCCACTTCTCAGTTCACTTTGCAAAACCGGGGGCAGAAGCGTGCCTGCAACAGGTTTGTAGGAGCAGAAAAATACAGCATCAAGTAGCTGGTTTCTGCTCTGTGGAAACACACACCAGAGTTTGGCCCCTGAGGCATGCCACAGAGTTGTGGTCATCAAATGCGTCAGCTAAATTTGTTTTCAAAACTCTTTGGATGTGAAACCACAAGTCCTCCCAGTGGTTGGGAAGATCGAAAATGAAAAGTGAGCAATTATCTTGAGACTGAGCTGTTCCCAAACCCATGTACCCTTGCCATTATAGCAGCTTTCTAGAAAGGCCTGGGGAGCAAAGGCCAGTGTGGGCTGAAAAGCTGGGCCACACATGGGTGTGTTCTCTAGAGCTAGAAATAGAACGGTTATATGATATGAACAGTGGCACAGCTATATGATAGTTACACTAAAATGGCTATATGATAGTTGCACTAAAATGTATGCTGCCTATTGGGACATTTCTGGAACCAATTTCTGATCTGAACACACCTGTTCCAAGGTTCTGGAGGTCTCCTTGGTGTTCTCATCCGCTAAGTCGGGGGATAGGAGTTTGAGCTACTCAATACAAAATGGTTGGCAGATGGGTCAGGCCTAACAGTGGGCTTTGAGGGAAGGGGTGGTGCCCCCCTGTTGGCTACAAGACTCTCTTTGCCCAGTCCACGTTGCATCTGTATTAGCAAGTTGAGGAAGAACACTGGGGACTGGTCCTTCCTGAGGACCTTCTCTCACCCAAGCCTGCTCAAAGCCCTTCCTCATCCTCAGAGACTCCCCAGGCCTCCTCACTACCCGCGGTTCGGTGGGCTGGTGACCACCAAAGGTATTTATTTCCCTGCTCTGTTGACCCTGGAATGCTCTTCTCAGATAAACTCACCTGATCCTGACACTGATGTTTTCCCTGAATTTGCCTGGTGTTCCACCATGTTTTTCTAACTAGGCTTAGTCCTGGGTTGAACTTTCTTGTATCTGTTACTGTTTGTGTTGCCTTACCCAGCCCTGGGGCCTCAAACAGGGGAACATATAAATCACACTGCAGGCTGCATTTTGCCATAGGAACGCCCAGCTGGTACTCTCTAGCTGGGAAAGTAATTGCTGAGTAAATGCGTACTAGGCATGTTTACGCAAAACTAAATCGGAGTATATCGGCTGAGGTAGGTGAAGATACCGTTGCAGCCCAATTTTTGACCTGTCTGCCTCTTTGGGCAGCATATTTTCCCTTTGCCTGTGGTATTTGAGCACCTTGGAGAACAGGCGAGATATGAACATAGCAAAACAAGAACAAACAGCAGTATTCAGTGTCCACCAAAACAGAATATTGAAGAAGTAAAGGATTTGTTCCTTCTTTGCTGTGTGCTTAGGAAACTGTATGCAGAAGCAGTCTAAGAAGCATGTCATTTCCTCCCCGGGTTCACTTTTCAGCCAGGGCTTTCCTTTTGATCTTCTTACAGGTATTATTGGGAACGATGAGCTCCCAGAGGATGTTTCAACAGGGAGCGGAGCCCGGTTTTACCCCTGGACAATAGACAACAAATATTATTCAGCAGACATCCATCTCTGCATTGTGACAAATAAGTTTCTTGTGACTGCTGAAATTGCAGAGACCGTGCAAGCCTTCTTGGTTTATTTTGACAGCTCATTGGTGAGTACTTTGGGATGTCCATGCTGCTTGTCTTAATTAATCTTCATGTCTGGAAGTCTGTCCCGGGAAATTGCAGCTGCCAAAAATAAAACTAGACCCAGCAAATCAGTAAATAGGTGCTGCAAGGCAGCTCGTTCTCGGGTTGCTCATCCAAACCGGTCACTTAACTTGAGCCAGAGGAGACTTTCAAGATGCTGCTGATTTGATAGGAAGCATAGAAACAGCGAGTCAGAAGGGGCTCCTGGGCCATCTAGTCTGACCCCCGGCTCCAGCCGGCTCCTCACGACATGCCCACCATGTGCATGTCCAGCCTATCCTTGAACATCCTCACTGATGGGGCCTCAACCGTCTCCCATGGAAGCCCATTCCGCACCCTCGGGGTCCTGACTGTCAGGAAGTCAGATAGTTTCTGTCCAGTCAGGACTACTTTGTCCCCTGAGCTCTTTTGAGATCTGCTCTGGCTGCATTTAAGATGCTCTTCTTGCTTTGACAAAGCTTTATATCACGTTTGCATTTCATTCTATTTTTATAACAGCTTTGCTGGTTAAAGAGTAGCATTGAGATGCCAGTGCAAATTGATGTTTGGGCTGGGTTTCAGGGACTCAGTGCAGTGGTACTCCTCCTGACCTGCCCACTAGGAGGCGGGTTCCTTTCTGGGAGACAGGCTTGGCGGGTGGGGGGGGAGGCTGAAGCAGGCGCTTCCCAGCCCTTGACCAAGCAGCTCCGGGGCTCCCTCCTGCTAGGCAGGGCTGAACACCATGGGGCGGTGGTGGGGGTTCATCCTGCTCCCTTCTGCATTGTGCTGGCTGAACGGTTGCTCCTGCATTGCAGCGGCGTGTGGGGGCAGGCAGGTCCCAAGCAAGCGCTTTGCTGCAGTGTCAGGCCTTCTAGGCGGGTCCCTCGCTCAGGCACCGAAACTCTGCAGGTGAACAGCGCAAGGGTCCATGGAGAGGCTCGCGAGCGCTCTTTCCCAGAAAGAAGAAGTGGTTGGAAACAAGAGCCACAACGCATTGAGCTCCCACCTAGGCCTGCCCCCTGCTCCCCATTTTATTCACCGCAACGAGGCTGGAGTTTCCAGCCTAATTGGAGATGGCTGATTGTTGCTAAGTGGTGGCAATTAGAGAACAGGAGGAACTCAAGCATGGAGTAATTGAGCAATGTTCTCAAAAGCAGTGGAAGCGTTTTGGAACCGAGAGTTTTCTCCGTTTCCTTGGCCTTTTTCTCCACTGTTTACTGACTAGGGCTCAGGAGGTGCAGGCTCCCAATCGCACCTGGTCAGCGTCCCTGAGCAAAAGGTGTTCTTCCGTGTGTTCATTCCCTGTCAGAACGCAACCACAGAGGGCTCCACTGCTGTCTTGGACACCAATTAGAAATGTGTTTCCCTGAGCACAGAATGGTTCATCAGGAGCCACTGGACTTTAAAAGCCTGCTTGTTGCCCCATGGGGCAGTTCTCCACATCTAGCTTTTGCCTCTCAGCTGGGGACATTAGAAACTGCCCTCGGCTGAGTCAGACCACCACCATCAACTTCCTGGCAAGAGTTGTCCCAGCCCTGTCTGCAGACGCCGGGGATCGGCCCTGGGACCTTCCGTATGCAAAGCCAAGTGCCTGTCCAGTGGGCACTGGCCCCTCGTGGTTGGCAGCAGAGACCCAGAGAGCACTGTAAACAAAGACAACATTTTGGAAACTGTATCATGCTTTTTCGCGCATCTTTCCAGGTGGCTTTTCCTCTGGAGGGGCTCTCCCTTCTCTTCAACTCTCTTTGGCTCTCTGCCTTGCTTGCTTACCCAGACTACCCCAGTCCATTTCCATGTGTGGTGCTGGAAGCACTGGCTAGAACAGGGGTGCTCACACTTTTTGAACAGGGGGCTGGTTGAAAGGTGCCGGTGATGGATGCGGGTCGCCAAGGCAGTGCAGGCAGGGGGCGTGGGTCAGGGCAGGGGGACACACGCGCGTGTGGCGAGGCAGGGGCGTGCGTGCGCAGAGATGGTTTTCTCCGAGCAGTCCAAAACTATCTCCTTGCGAGCAAGCTGGCACACGTGTGTGGCGAGTCCAAAACCTCTGTGGTGGGCTGGATACATGGGCATCGCGGGCCGGATCCGGCCCATGGGGCGTAGTGTGAGGACCCCTGGCCTAGAGGGTACCCACGATTCTTGTGTCTCTTCGCAGGTGACTGGCCTGGACAGCATCTCCACGTGGCTTCCTCTGGTGGAGGAGTGGCTTCCAGAAGTGATGATTTTGGTCTGTGAGAGAGTGTCCGAAAGCGGTAAAGCCAAACTCTTGGGGGGCCCGGCGGCTTGGTTCAGGGGGGATTGGGCAGTGGCATTCGGGGGGGGTGGACAACCCGAGCCCACGAGCTCACCTGTTGATCGGTCCCCGTTTCCCAGCCCAGATCTCGTCACGGTCAGTGCTCAGCCCCACATGCCTTAGGGCCATTTCAGCGGAACTTTTCTGCCATCCCGTCTTGCAGGCGCATGTGGACATTTTGCCCAAGAATGAACCTGGCAGATGGCAAGATGTGAGGGGAGGCAGGTGCATGGGGTCAGTGCAGGGTCGCGCGCGTGGGAGCCGGTTGGGAGGGAGAGGTGGAGGGAAGTGGGTCTTCGCAGCGTGGAGAAGAGGAGACCCGAGGGGATCTCGACTTACAGGTCTGTGAGGGGCTGTCATGTGGGGGAAGGCCGTGAGCTGTGGAGGGCAGGATGCGTTCCAGTGGGGCCAAGCTCAAGGAACCAGGTTTCAGGTTGGATGCCAGGAAGCACTTCCCGACAGTTAGGGCCCCTTGGAAAAGGAAAGGGCTTCCACGGGAGGTGGTTGAGGCCCCACCGGTGCAGACCTTCAAGGAAAGACTGGGCAACCCCATGTTGGGGACTGCATGAGCGGAGCCGGCGTCAAACCAGATGGCCTGGGTGGCTCCTTCTCTCTCGCTTTGCTTCTGTGAGTAAAGGTGGAGCAGTTCTTGCGGCTGGGTGGAGCCAGGGCTGACGGGCCCTCACGCGTTTGCTCAGATCACCCACCGGCTGCCGTTCTTCCAGCATGGTGCACAAGGAAGCAGCGGACCTTGGACACAAGCTGCATCTGTGTGTGGCTGGAAATCCCGCTGTCCTCGCTCCACTGAGCTCCCAGGCTGCAGTGTGTAGGGACCTCTGTGCTGAGAAGCTTGTTGGCATGCAGATTCTGCCGGGGCGAAGCAGGTGTGGGCCCCGACACATCCTGCCTGAGGAGTCCCCTGTGTGCACAGTTCTAGCAGAGGCAAAGGGAGCGGAGCTGCTCTCTGGACCATCAGACCCTGCCTGCTTATTTCAGGAGTCAGCCGCCAGAAGGCCCAAGAGTGGTGCATCAAGCACCGTTTCGAGCTGGTGGAGCTCAGCCCGGAGGAGCTGCCTGACGAGGAAGGTATGCCTGAGCCTCTGCCCCCCCCCCCCCCGCCGCCTGCCCCAAGCGAGCGCAGCCACCCTGCTGCCCTGCACGTGCTCCCGTGGAGCCAGTGCCTCAGGTCGGGTCCATTCCCTGTGCTGCTCCTGGCCTCCTCCAGCCCCTCACTGGTTTTCCTCCAGGTTCTCTGCCCAACGTCGCTGGGGGGGCTCACAGGGCACCATCGGAGCTGCACGTTTGCTGCTGTTGCTTTGCCCCGCCATGTCAGCACCAGAGCCTGGACTGACGCGGCTGAGACCTCATTCAGAGCCGGAGCGTGGGCTGTGGGGGCAGATCTTAAAGGGTCTCATCTCCTTAACCTTAAAGCCCACCCAGCTGCTTCCTTTCCAGCCTCTTCTGCAGTTTGCCTCAAGCCCGTGCAGGGAATATCCATCCTCAGGTTTGCTCCTGGCCCGTACCCTGCCTTCTTTGGGCCAAACACCTTGTGGCATTAGCCACCTGGCTTGCCTTTCAGCTCCTGGTTTTGAGGCGGGGGAGACCCCCTGGCTCCAGCGAGAGTTCCTTCTACCCTGCAAATACGAAAGCCACGCTGCGCCCTGTCCCCCATGCAAAGGTCTCAGTCTGGATCAGCCCCTATCTCCTGCATTGGCTCTTGGGCAACAAACCATGCAAGAAAGACCACGTTTGGCCTGGCCTCAATTCCCTCCTTTGGCCCAGGCAGTCAAGATAGATAGCAGGGCTGGTGCCTTGAATTGCAGAGCAGTGGCATGTAAAATTCACTGCAGTTAAACATGCTTTATGCTAATCTCAGGAATGTGAATGATTAATAGGGGTGGATGTTTATCTGCAGAAAGTTTCCTAGAATTTGCAGAGACTTAAAAAAAACAAACCCTGGGCTCTCAGCAGTGCAAACTTAAGCACACACGGAGCAAATCCTGTATGTCCTTCCCTACTTCTGAACTCACGTGCATCTGTTTCCAAAGGAGTCTTTTCACGATCACATTGCACACTCCCCTGTTTAGATGACTTTCCAGAGTCTACAGGAGTAAAACGCATCGTCCAAGCCTTGAATGCCAACGTCTGGTCAAACGTGTTGATGAAAAACGGTATGCTGTTTTCAGTCTGCTTTTGATCAAATCAGTGTGTCTTTCTGGCATGTGCAAAGCAACGCTAAGCTGTATTTCCTCAGACATACGTCCCCCTGTATTCGGTGGGATATACTCCCCAGCAGGCTACGCCGCTGGATCGTGGCCAGGGCAGAGCACGGCTTTCCGCTCTGCCTCGGCTGGTCAGCCAGTCGCTCTGCAGCGCGAGGGCTGGGCTGGCTGTGGGCCAGGGGTTCTCAGGAAGCAGCCTGGCAAGATTTGCACAGCCTCCTGGCTGCAAAGGGCAAGGCCGGAGGGCATCCCTGCATTGGCCCCCACTGCTGCCCCCTAGTGCTCCCCTTCCAGCCGGCGGCTCTTGCACTCTGCCGCTGCTTTGCTGAGGCTCCACTGCATCGCGGTCTGCAGCAGAAGCGGCACCTGAGGCCTACGAGTTAAAAGTTAAAGCACATTCCAGCAGAGCTCTGGCGGCCCAGCTGTCCGCCTCCGGTCAGCCCTACCCCTGGCCCCTAAGACAAGTTTCCTGGCTGGGTGACGGCTGGGAGCGCATCTCCTAAAGCAGGCTGAAATGACCTGGTTCGTGGGAGCTGCGGGGCCAGCCTGAAGCTGGGCTGCTTGGAGCCGGTTGCCTTCTTTGCCCGGGGAAAAGCTGCACGTGCCCGGACTGGCCCGATGATGTTGGCAGTGTGGCCCCATTGCCTTTGCTCTGGACGCTGACAGAAAGTGGACTTGGTTCCTTCAGAGGCTCCCGATTGTGCTTCGCATCCAAGTGGAGCGCAGTTCCGGGTGGATGTAGCAGTGGAAAGTTGCCGCGTGGATGCTTATGTTTGGTAGGCCATGAGCCCAGAGCGAGGCTCCAGACCAAGCTCCCCTGCGTGGCCCGGAGCAGCGCACTGTGCGCTGTAAGCCCTGTGGCCTCAAGCTGGAGGCAGACCTTTCCGTGCCTGGGGGGTGCGGGTTAACCCACAGGCACCAAGGGGGCACGAGCAGGGGAGTCCAGAAATGCGCTTTGCTGGATTCTGTGGCGAGCGTGAAGGGGGGATTCCCCATTCCTCGCCTGCCACATCCGACGGTGGCAGGTGGAAAGGGAAGGAAGCCGGCGCAGCCCCGGCCTGGCAGGGCCACCGCTCTGCTGCTTGTTCTCGCCAGGAATAAAAGAGCGCTCATCCGGGAAGCCGCCGTTCGAGTGGCGCAGTGGCTCACATCCAGATGGGGACGTGCCAGGGCTGTGGCCGGGAAGTGGGGAGAACGACTCCCCAGGAAGCCACCCAGAGTGGGCCCTGGTCCCCGGGCACTGCAGGCTCTCCCAGAGGACGGGGGGGGGGGGAAGCCCAGGCATGGTGCCTTTTCTCCTGTCGTTGGGCTGCAAGTGTGCAGCTGCCCTGCTTTGCCCTTCCCCTTTCTTGACCTTGGTGGGGACTCATTTGGGGTGCTGGGCTGCCCCCCCCACTGAACTGGGAAGGGTTGCTGTCGGCTTGCACGTGCTGGGAAGCCAAGCATGGCTCCAAGTCCAGCGCTGCACCTCTGTCAGACAGAGCTACGACTCCTCCCAAACCTTGCACAGGATGCCTGTTGAGGGAGCCGGAAATGCCTTCCGTGTCGGCCCGAGGTGTTCTCTGGCAATTTCGGAGGCCTCGTCTGCTCTTAGAGACTGCATTATTTGTACCCTCCGTGGCTGCCTCCCCTTGGAGGAGTGGGGGAAGGCCCCCCTTCCCACGGGGCAGCTCGGTCCACGAAAGGTGTGCATACGCACAGTGTCCCTGACTGGCTTTCCTGCAATGCCCTGGCTGCTCCCGCGGAGAATGAGCCCTCCTCGTAGCATCATCTCGGGCACCAGTCTTAGAAAGCGATCATTCCAGGCAGGGACGTCTTCCTTGTGAAGGCTCTCCTGGCAGCCCCCTTCCAAGGCAGCCCAGAATCGGGGGGCCGGCCATTGCCCAGGCACCCCCCTCCTAGCCCAGTGGCGAAAGTCAAGCCTCTCCTGCTCCAGGCGTTCCCCACCTGGAACTCCCCCTTCTGAGACGCTTCGTGCCTTGGGCACAAGATGCCCCTGCGGACCAGCTGCTTGTCTCCGGAGCCCCTGACTGCTCCCGTGGGCCAGCAGTCCCCCATCCCAGGTAGTGCGGGAGACCCAGCCCCTTGTGCCACCCACCCCCCAGCAGGAAGACACGTGCATTAAACTAACAGCTCTTTCTTTTCAGAGGTGAATCAGGGCTTTGGCTTCCTTCCTGCCTTGGCGGGAGCAAATCGCAGCCTTCGGTCCGAAGAGGAGGACGCTCCAGAAGTAAACAGTAATTTTTTAATTCCTTTCTGTCTCTTTGTTTTGTGCCGCGGGCTCCACTCACCCCGCTCCGTGCCTCAGCCAGCTTTCCACTGCCGCCTCCTGAAGAGCGGCCAGGCCTGCAGGCCGCCCCCCACCAGCCCTTGGGCGGCTGCTCCCGTGGAGCCTCCCCCTGGCTGTTTTAGCGCCGCCACACGCAGCTCCCAGCGCTTCCTTCTTCACGTTTTCAGCATGGTGACAAGCGCTGGGAACTTGGCTCATTCTAAAAAGGCAGGTCCCAGGGATTCTTGGTCCAGGGCCAAACGCCGTTCTTGCTGCAATCGTCCCACGCGTGGAGTGGGGGGAGAGTGCCCATCTCCACCGCTCCGGGGCTCGTTGCCGTCCCCACCCCTGAAAGCGTGGGAAGGGCTCAGCGCGGCACACATCGGGGCTCCCTCTTCGCTCCACGTGTGCTGCATCCAAGTCGATTATTTTCCTCTCCCAGACCAACTCTTCGCCAGCTGAGGGAGTGGAATCCACTGGAGACCCTGGAGAAGACGTGGCAGACGCAAATGGCAGGCAGGCCAACCCCACAACGGGTGAGAGAGGCTTTTGCGTAACACTGGCCCTCTCACTCCATAAGAGCAGCTCCACCCACCCCAGCCCTCGCTGCCATGCAAGACCATCAGAAACCGGAACGTGTTTGAGTCGTGGGCATCTTTGGGTCTGGCCCCGTTGCTGAGAGAACGAGTCTGGTCCAGGTCTATTTTTGTGCTTCCTGCAGATCCCACGCTGGATTTGGACATTCAAGAGCTCGCTAGCCTCACTGCAGGAGAAGGCGATCTAGAGAACTTTGAGCGGCTGTTCTCCAAGCTGAAGGAAATGAAAGGTACTCTCCAGCAGTTTCCCCAGACTCAGCAAATAGCTTGGTTTGAGTCGCAGCCTGCACGTAAGACACTCGCCCAGCCGCCCCAGGCAGATGCACCTCTCCTGGCCTCTTCCATCACTCCCCTGTGGACCTCCCTGCGTGTGTTCCTGGCTTTGCAGGTGGGATGTGAAGATGAGCAGGATGCCTTTACAGGAGGCGAGACAGTGCTGCCAGCCACTGTGGAAAGGCAGTGTCTTGGAGCGCGTGGGCACTCCCCTAGCCTTTGAAAAGCGCCGCTTTCCACGCACTCCCGGGATCCGGTGTGCAGCCGGTGCACCGCATTTCTGGACCGATTATGGGGGCAATTTCTGGTCAGGCCCCGGTTCTTGTGCAGTGAAGTGCCCGCTGGTTGCAGTGCTCAGTTCTCCCTGTCCCTCTGTTTTTCATTGCTGGAGGAATGCCCTTTCGCCTGAGAGATGCCTCTGGCCTTCCGAAAGTAACTTCTCTTCCCTTTGATCCCTGCAGAGAAGGCAGCAGCATTGCCTCACGAACAGAGAAAACTCCACGCAGAAAAGGTGAGGGGTCCAGATGGCTGGAACTCCTGGCCAGCCTTTCCACCTGGTACAGGCATTCTTCAGGGTGGGGGGTGGGGAAGCTAAATGCCCCCATTTGAAAGCAGCACCTGGGCTCCCCGAGCAGTTAATTAGCATGCCCCCAGCTAAAACTGGGGGGCTTCATCTCCCTCCCATTAGCTAAGCCAGGATGGCCTGTGCAAGGGAACACGCTCGGCTCTATGCGAGCCACAGAATTTGGTTGACGGTGGGAATCCGCGTGGGCCCAGCCACACAGGTGCAGCACGCCTGAAGGCGTACGGAGCGTGCGTGTGGTCGGGACGGGCAGGGCAGGGCAGGCCACGCCTCGTGTCTGTTGTGGGTGTGGTTGACCACCTCCAGGGGCCTTAGCTTGTCTTGCCTCTTGACTCGCAGGTTGCCAAAGCCTTTTGGATGGCCATCGGAGGAGACCGAGATGAACTCGAAGGCCTGTCTTCTGACGAAGACAATTAAAGTCTGCGGGACAATGTGTCGCGAGGCAGGTGGGGGTCCTCGTGTTGGAAGCACCAGCAGGGGCTGGCTGCCCTAGTTGTGGGTTGTTGTTGTTGCTCGTTTACACAGGCCTGTCTTTTTCTGGGGGGGGTGCAAAGACCCGAGGGGCTGTTTCTTGCTTGTTTTGTTCATGTTGCCCCCACATGGAAAAGGAGGTGGCCGTTTTACTTCCATGCCCGGATTCAACAATGGGGGCACGGGTGATCGCATCCACCAAGCGGCAGAGGTGTTCTGGTGAACTTGTTGTGCTGCTGAAAGCAGAGCGGCCCAGACCAAGCTGGAAGAGCGGCGTGGCATCTCCTCGCGGTTGTCCTTGCGCCGCCCCTCCTCACACCGTCCTCCCTCCAAAGCCGAGACCACGGGCGGGGCGGGGCAGGGGCCCTCTTTTCCAGGGAGGCAAGTGGAGGCTTGATTTCTCCAGAAGTGCTTGCACCTGCAAGAGACGCTCAGTGCCAGAATGGTAATTTTCATAGACTAGCATGTAGTTTGGATCTTTCTGTTGAACTGTTACCGACCAGTTGCCAACCAGTGCGAAAAAACAGGCTTTTGGGTGGGCCCTGCCTTCCCCCTCCTCTGGCAGCTGACAAGTCAACAAGTAAACCTGCAGGAAGAGTAAAATCATGCATTGCCCAATGCTGGGCTTGATGTGCCCGTGGGCTTCCTGCTGCTTTGTCCTGTGACGGAAGCTGTGCAGTGGGAATGGCCACGCGCACCTCGGGGGCAACTACAGGGAGCCACAGTCCTCACTCCGAGTTGAGGAGTGTGTCCGAGGGCAGTCGCGTCTGCTGTTCTCGTGCTCGCGGACAGAGCGTTCGAGTGCTCCCGGGGCTTGGGGGCGAGGAGATCGCTGACCCAGGTCCAAATGGCCACTGCTGCTCTGCCTTGGCTTGCAAGCCCCAGGAGCCACTGGACATGCATGAGTGAGAGGCATCTCCACCACCCCACCGAGGGGGGGGCCCGGGGGCCGCCGCACTCCCACGTTTTGAGACGCGTGGAGGTGTGGCAGGGCTGCGGTGTTGAAGCGGTGTTGGGGCAAAAGGCTGTGTGTACAACCCCCCAGCGTGGGGCATTTTATCTTTGAGCAATCAGGGTGTGAGCATAATGATCCGTTGCACTGGAACAAAGGAATCCCACCGTCTTGGTGTAAGCATCATTCCAATCTGTTGAAGCACTTTAAACCATAAAGAATCCCGCCAACATTTCCCTGCGGATGGCAACGCGTCCAGGACAGTTTTAAAACAGTGAGGTTTGCCTTTCTCTCTTTTCGAAGTAGATTCAGGCCACAAGTCACTGAAAGCCTCTACCCATGGCAAGAGTGCAGAGTTCTTGCATTCACAGCTTCGGTGCATCACGGGGTTGTGTAGAAGAGCTTTGCAACAGGTTGTTGCCTAGACAGACATGGAAAACTGCAGCAAAAGCCTGTGTACTTTTTTGTTTTTCTTGCATACTCTGAACGGGCTGAATAAAATCTGCTTAAAATACAGCCTCCTTGCCTGCTAGTTGCGCATTGCGCTCGCCCCACAGGCTTCTGCGCAGGGACTGGGCTTGGACCAGCATGACAGAGGCCAGGCCCACTTCAGGACTTACTGGTATGGTATGGCGCTCAGGCTGTCAGGCTGGGGAGACCTGGGATGCAGGCCCCCTTGGCCATGAAGCTCGCAGGGCAGTTGTGGGGCAAGATGGGAGAGGGAAGGGACCCGCTAAGTGGCTTTAGGGTCTTGTAGGAAGAGGAAATGGTGCCTAAAAGAAAGGAGATTGCCCCTAAGCTGTGGAATGGTCTCTCAGGAGAGAGGCATCTCATCTCCCAATTTCCCACCTTTAAGGGGGAGTTAAAAACCTCTTTCTTCTGACAGACTGTTCCAGATTAGTTCTAACGTCAGATCTAGTCGCTATGTTGCATTAGTCACTATTACTCACTGTTGGTGTAATTTCTTGAAAACAGCTCAGAGCCCATGCAAATAGGGTGATACATAAATATTGAGGTAAATGAATAAATGTATTTTTGCATTATGCTCTTAATTATGCATATCATGGAGTTTACCTTCTTCACAACAGGTGTGCACTGGGCCAGCATTTTCATTGACCTGTCCACCACAGCCCAATTACCTGAAGTTGCAATTTTTTGCCCCAACAGGCATTTACTTTACATATGCTTTGCTTATATTGAACCGCCTTGGCCTGTGTGATGGCCCATTCCCCCAGCTTGGAGAGATCCCTCTGGATCTGACTGGGTGTTTAGGTCAGCCACTGGAAGCGCCTCATCTGAATTACCTGAGCGGTTATGCTGGCCGTGCTGGCAGGACAGGTGAGCAATTCGCATTGCCCAGCCAACCAGCCTGCGGTTCAGTGAAAGCACGTCTGCTGCTGGCCCCTCATTCCTTCCAGCCCAGGCACAATTTCATTCAAAAGCCCTTCTAGGGAGCAGAGAAAGATCATTACAAATTTATTAGGATGACAAAGGAAAGAACATACAAGTTTCACGTAAGAAATACCAGGGCGAGGATGCTACAGGCTTTTGATAAAAATAAGCTTAACAAGCTGAAAACCCGGCAGTGGCAACTTTTAGTTAATACACAGATATAAAATGAGTAGAAAATAAACACTGGATGCAAAGTGTTTCACACAAGCTAAGCTGTTTCTCCTCAAGAACTCTGCTACCTTTCGCTGAAGAGGAAGGCTTCCGTAAGAGGACAGTGAAGAGCACAGCAGTCTCCTAAAACGGCCAGCTGCTCCATTGCAGGGGAATGGATGGTGAAACCGTTTGTTCAGTGTGTGTTTAAACCAACCGTCTCGGCAACTCACCATACTCGGCACACGAGAAGAACAGCCCTGTCTGCACAAAGATGGGGACTGCTGAGTGGGAGAATGCCCAGATGCTTATGATTCTTCCCTCGTTTATTTATTATTTATTTATTAAAACATTTCTATGTCGTTCCACTGAGGTTCGCAAGAATCTGCAATTAACCACCTGAAAACGGAGGATACGCCATAGCGGCGCTGTGCATCGTACCAGGAACACGTCGTCCATGGAATGTCGCAAGGCGGTGAGGGCGCGTGGTGGGCACGAGGCAGCCCAGCAGCGGCGACCCTTGCACTGCTAAGACCGGGCCAGACCTCCGCAACGCACCCGTCTCTGCCAGTGCAAACGTGCTTACTGGACCTGGACCGTGCCATAAACGTATCTCTTCCCTTCCAGGGTTCTGCTGTTCTGTCCAAATGCAGCTCCATCAGTACTTACTTTTAAATGGGTTGGTTTGTGTTTAGGGTTAGGGTCCTCCCCCAAATCCAGCCTTCAACTCTTCAACCTCAAAATGTAATGTTTAGGCAAAAAAATTAAGTATCTGACCCAATCTGACTACTGAAAGAAATTATATAAATAAGGAACTATGTCAAGCTATATTAAACATAAGCACACAGCTCAAGATTGGCTACGCTATAAGAGGGGCTAATAATTTTCCATCTACCCTAGAAAAAATCTAAGTTATGACTCTGCCTGCCTCCATGAAAGACCTAGGAGGGAGGAGCAGCCATGGCGCTGCGATGCCCTGTCGCATCCTGGCCTGCATCCGGCTTCTCTTGTCCAAGCAGAAACCAGCCCCAGAGGGAGGCGGATCGTTGGCCTTTCGCCAGTCGCTGCTTGGGTCTGGCTGGGGCCGGACTCCCGCCTGGGCCACGCGCTCCTCCAACCGCCACATCAAAACAGCCACCAGCCGTTTTCCAATCCCTCCTGCAAGGTCCTGCTGCCTCGTTGAATTCCACGCGAAGGGCCTGGACTCTGCAGCTCCCTAAATGCAAACTAAGACGCACGGCGACTTGGTTCATTATGTTAAAAAAAAAAAACAGTAATAGTTTCACCACGGTCACGGAAAGGAAGCACCATGGCTACTTGGATTTGCTGTCCCGCAGCCGTATCAAACAAGGGCCACTGTGGGAGTCAAAGGGCCAGCTCAGTCCCCAGCCACGAAAGACAAGGCTCCTGGAGGAAGAGCCAGGGAGCCCCACTAAAAGGCAGATTCCAGTACAAGTACGTGCACAATCTGAACACCCACACTGGTGCGGCTCAGCCCGGGCTGTCCGTGTCGAAACCTTGAATGCCAAATGGACAGCCGCCTGCCGCCCCACTTTCAGCATGAGGGCAGCCAGGGCCCTGCCCTGGAACGTGCTTCAAAAGCCGGGAACACACTCGGTCATGGCAAACAGGTGGGTGCCTTGAACACGCACACACTTAGTTTTACGAAGGGTGGGCATGGCTGTCTCTCGTTTTAGAAGTTAATCACGGCATGTGGAGGTTGCCACGAGCAAGGCGCAAGGAGAGGCAAGCAGGCCTACTTGAGATAAAGGAAGGGCCAGGAAGTTGCCCACGTGGCGTGGAGGCCCCGTCCCGACCCCCCTGGCCCCATGGCCACCCGCCGCCACAGGGCACCCCCTCCACTCAGCGGAGCCGGGAGACGACCTGGCAGGCAGGCCAGGAAAGGAGGGGCTGCCATGAGTGCGGGCAGTGCCTCCACGAGGGCACCTGGGTAGCGCTGCGCCGCTCCAGACTGATCATAAGTGCGGGAAGCAACGGCATTGCTAAAGTGCAGCTCTAACCAAAGGAGGAAGTGCCGAGTTTCTCCATCCCGTGCGTTTTCTGCTTGGCCTGTGCTTGCTTTGCGACCCCCACCCACCCCGGGGGAAAAAGCCAAGTCTTAACACTCCAGAGAGCAAACCTGAGATCTGAGGAATTCTACATGGGTCATTTAAGCTTGCATGTTTTTACTCTGCAGAAACAAACATGTCCTGCACCCACCTAAAAGGGGGGGGGGCACAGTCTCCCACAGAAGAGAATAGAGAGGCCTTATCATATGGGTCCTGGTTTGGGGCCTGCCCCTCCCTGCTGCTCCCACTGCCTTCCCCTCCCACGTGAAGTGGGGCAGCATGAGCACCATGTTTCAACGGGTGGGAGGGAAGGTGTGGGCACAGTTTCAGGGAAAAGGGTGGTGGGGAAGCTGCAGCTGGGTCCCTTTTGCAGCACCGTTTCCAGGTTGCTCACTGGCAACCACGAGATCAAGGCCACGAGGAGCTCCCAGACAGAATGCAGGATGCAATTCAGAGGAAGTTAAGTGCACTTGAATAAATTTTGCTAGATTGCACCCTCTATCTGGCAACTAAATCTCATTACTTTCCTTTAAAAGTGACTAATAAGAGATGGGCATAGAGAGCTTTTAGATATATGTAAAACAGAGAATGTAAAGGTTTTTTTTTAAAGAACTGAAAAGGGTCAAGAGTCCCTAAATGAAACTCGCTCCTATCAATGGGCTGGATGAAGGCAAAACTTGCACTGAAAGGATCTGGGCCTTTAAAACTGGTTCAGGTGCTTCTGAGAATATCAGTTCTTCGACTTGGATGTGAAGCTATTAAAACAGCAGCAGCCTCTTCAAAGTAGTGGCAGTCGCTTGGCAGACCTTGATGTCTTAAATGGGCTGTTTCCACTCTGAGGAAACGTCGTACACGAGAGATTCCCCACCACCACTTTACTTTTGTATAAGGAAAGTTTCATAGAGCAACAGAAATGGGACACTGGAAACGGCCCAAATCCCAGGACTCCTCTCTCTGCTGCAGCAGCTACAGACGGACGGAATCCTCCATGGGCAGGAGTGAGTTCCTATGATGAGAGAGAAGCCTGCAGGTGAACGGCAAACGACAGGCAGGAGGGTAACCAAGAAGAAAACCCGGCAGGCTGGAGCGTCTTAAGAAGCTGCTTCAAATACACACATGCCGGACTGCAAGAGATGTCCACGTCGGGGATTTGGGGGTTCAAACATTTCTTCGGCTAATTCTTGCAGGCTCCAACAGGAGTCTGCCGACCCTGCTCCTTGGGAAATGACTGTAAAATCAACGCAGAATATGCACTTCAGATGGATGAAGACCGTGCTGGCCTGTTCTGAGTGATCATGCCACCCAAATGCTACAACAAGATCGCATACTTGTATCACTGTGCATAGTTCCACCCAGTGTAGGGCATCGTAGTGCCTCACGGAAAGAAAAGAGGATGAGAAAAACAGAAATCCCTGTTCAGAAGTTTCTTGGCTACCGCAAAAATTCCTGACTGCTCTAACATGACCCAGCAAGCCCCCAGGAGTCCAGGAGCAACTACTCAATTCAGAATTTGTCCAGCAGCTCAAACCAGAATGTCACAACTTAGGTGAATACAAGCGCTGCACGATTCAATCGAAAATCATTTTGGAAAAGCCAGCAAGGAATGTCTCGTTAGTCACAAACATCGCTCCAGAAAGCTGCAGGGTCAGCAAAACCCTCTCTGAAAAGCAGCCTCCTCCCCGAACATTTAAAGGCTCTCTGGTGCATCACAAGGCATGCAGGAAGGGTCGGATTCTGCATTCCCCTCTTGCCTCATTTTAGGTATGCACGCAAAGAACATTCGATAAATCCACTGTCTTAAGACTCTTGGTGCATCCCCATATTTGCCAAAGGAAAACCCCCTCCGGCAATGATGTTCCTGTAGCAAAAGCAGCGCTGCTTAAAGTGTTCCTCAAGGGCCCCATTCCTGCTTCTGAGCAGGTGGCCGCGCCTTCCTGACCAGGCTCTGGCAACGCCCGCTCGGTGGCAAAGTCTGGCGAAGAGCAGGCTTGCGCTGGCCGCCCAGGCGGGGAGCACATGCCGTTTCGCTGGGGTGAGGAGGCAAACCTTCAGCCGGGCAGGCAACAGCAGTGTCAGCCAGGTGGCAGCTCCCTGCTGCACGGGGCACGCACTCCGTTCAGCAGTGCCTCAGAGGCGCGAGGTGTGGTGCGGTGGCCACCGGGGCCTCGGAGCGTGGTCTCCAGAGAGATTCCAGGCAGGTGTACCCGGCTAAGGAGCCATGCCTGCCCTGAGCCAAGGCAGCGATTCTCGGCTGCTGCGCGGAAGACACTGGCCGCTCAGGGCCGGAGGACTCATCCAGGCGCCGTGATGGCCTCCTAGAAATGCGGTTTAAGGGCCTCACCTTGCATGTCGTGCCCATCTCCAGTCGCAGAACAACCATCTCTTCTCTTGGGAGTCACTCGGGTTTTGACCTCACAGTCAAGAATACCGGCAGCTGCATGGGCAGGCGCAAACTTGCTGTTCGCACGCAGCATTAAGCACGCCCGCAAATGAATTTCGAGCTCCAGAATCCCTGAGAACCAAAACTGCGCTGCCGATTAATATGGGAACTGCGTGCTGGCCCAGTGTGCCTTTCTTACTAAAGACCCTTGCGACTGGCCCCTAGCAGAGGATGTTCTTCACAAGACGTTCCAGCAGCGAAGGGGGGTCCTGACGGCAGAGAATCACACCCTTGGCTGATTGTGACTTTCATCTCCCCTGGTCCAGTTAGCAGGGCTGCTTAGCTCCCTTCTGGAAGGTTTCCACTACTGAATTCTGAGACCCCTTAAAGCAACTGCTAAAGGCTAAAACAGGACAGCAGGAAAACAACGTGGGAGAAACACAAAGTTAATGCAGAAGGGCCCCCAGTCTTGGCAAGTGTCAGACTCCTTTGCAGGAAGTGGTGAGATCGCACCACGATAAGCTAAACGTAAAGGAAAGGGGGATTTTAAGGCATGCGCCGATGTGGGATGAGGCAGCCACGGTGTGTGCACTTTACAGCTAATTTCATCTCTGAGATCGCAACAACGGAGCAAAGCAAAGAGGGGGGCGACTCCTCCTTCCTGACCGAATTCCAGCTTTCTTCCCTCCCGCACCCGTTGCTCCAGATTTTAATCCAAACGGCTTTCTTCACCGTTCCCACAAATGGTCTGCCAGAGATGGGCCGGGGAGGAGGCCCAGAAGCAAACACTGGAAAAGGAATGTCAAAAGCTGTCACGGTCCCCCCCACGCCGCACCCCCCGTTCCAGCTGGATCATCTCGAACGAGATGCCTGTGGGCCGGCGCTACGGAGGCGTCTCCCTTGCTCGCTCCCAGTCCCAGAGCAGCTGCGAGGAGCCACTCCGGACACGCGGCGCCCCGGCACGCGGCGGCAGGTGAGGTCGCCCCAGCCGAGCTGCGCTCCACTCGAGCAGGAGTCCAGACGGCGGGGCGGGGCGTCGCGATGCCTTCCACGAGGGTCCAAGGCACCACCGCGACGGACGTGCCGGCTGTTCGGGCAGGAGCGGCCCAGCCCTGGCAAAGTCTCGCTGGCGTGGAGCAGCATCTTCCGCTGGAGGGGAGGGACGGTTGCCAGACAGACGGGGCCCAGGAGAGGAGCAACCGCCAGCCGAAACGCTCGTTCTCGGGATGCCCCGTCGGTCAGACAGGCTGCGGACGCTCGGGCGACGGGCCGACAGAGTCCCCGCTTTTGGGCCTCGGCTTCAGCTGCCCCTCCTCTAGGACACACTGGAGCAGCGGATGCTGGGGGAGCCCATCTGGGTGAGGACCTTGTCCAGCCACTGCAGGGGGCCGTTCAGGTGAAGCTCAATCCAGCAGGGTGTGCTGGTGACCGTCTGCCGCCTGGAACAGCAGGAGGGACAAGGGCCACTAGCATTCGGGTGCCCCACACGCTCTCTCGCGTCTCTGCCCCACCCCGCAAGGACCCCACAGCCGTTGGCACAGGCCTCCTCCCCACTGTTGTCCCCGCCACCACCCTGGGAGGCTCAGCGCCTGGCCCAGAGTCACCAAGTGTCATCCCAGCCCCAGGCCAAGACTTTTAACCACTGGCGGAAGGAATGACGGGGATACATACATCAGCACTGTGCCACGTGTATTTTAATTGCATTGACACACCACCTTTTTCCCACAAGGTGACTTAGCCATCTCCCTCCTCACCATACCTCACAACAACCCTGCAAGGCAGGCTGCACTGAGGGGCAGTGATTGCCACAAAGCCCCATGGCCAAGAGAGGACCAGAGGCTGGGTCTCCCGAGTCACAGCCCTATGCTCTAACCACTAGACTGGTTGTGCAAGGCTTGGTTTTGTCACACAAGTGCAAGTCTTGCTCTGCAGCCTTGAGGAATGGAAGTGTGCCGTCCAAAACTGACCAGAGGAGGAGAGCGGGCGTTTTCAGGCTGCCGCTTCCGGCAGCGCCCTTCTGTGCCGCCCAGCATCCCCTCTGCCAGCTCTTTGCCACGCTTCCGAAAGGTCCTGCTGCACCACCCAAGCCCACGCCGGCTACCCTGTAATAGGGGAAGGAAGCCGCCACACCCACTTGCAGGCAGGAGAGGCCTGGCCAGCGCCTGTGGCCTGCCACGGGGCTCCCGAGTGGCACCTTCTGGCTCGGCAGGGCTGCTGCGCGGCCTGGAAATGGCAAGGGCAGCTCGGCCGACGGAGCACAGCCCCTCGCGACCCCTCCGGGGACCCGCGGGGGACGGCGGATGCACCACGCCAAGCGCAGAGCCTGTGACAATAGCTGAGCGGGGGCCAGGCCCTCCCCGCCTGGGGCATGTCGCTCGCCTGGCTCTCATTAAGGCGCGTGGCCATCGGCCAAGGCAGCGAGGCAGGCTGGGCCGGGAGGGAGAGAGCCGGCTGCAGGAGAAGCGGGCTCCAGACATCTGGAGAAGCTGTGAGAGGTAACCCGAGAGGCTGGGCCCCAGCCTGGGCCCAGCATCAGCCCACTCGGTGGGGAGAAGGGCTGCGAAGCCGCCGGGGAAGGCCGCTCCTGCGCTCACCTCCTCCAGGAGGGCACAGGTCCCCGGGAGCAGGGCTGCTGCACAGCCTTCCCGCCCCCACCCCGCCCGCTTGCGGGCTGCCGCATCCGGCCCCCGCCTTGCGTGCCGTCGCCAGTCCCCGCGCAGGAGAGCGGCTCGCTGGCCGTGCTTCACCCCTTCCCCAGGCCCTCCCCTCTAGCCGGAGAGCGGAGTGAGGAAACAGGCTCCTCGGGAGAGCCTCCGGGAACCAAAGCACAGTGGGGGCCACCGGCTCCCGCAGCCGTGCCCCCGCGCACACCAGGGGCTTGCACAACTCCCCTGCCCCCGGGCTGCAGCCCTTCAGCACACAGGGCCCACAGCAGGTCCTTCCACCCCTTGCTTTGCTAATTTGCACGGTGGGGGGGGAAGGAGCAGCCGCTTCAGGGAGCCCTCCCCTCCACGCAAGAACTCTGACCTGTACTCGGCACCCCAGCCCTTAACGAAGCTCATCCGGATGGTGCACATGCGCGTCAGCTGATAGACCGCCTCGAAGCCCTGGTTCACGGACTGCGCCAGCAGGGCAGCAAACTCCTGGTTGTTGAAAATTTTCAGGTTGCAGCCTGTTAAGGGGAGGAAGCACAGGGCCGGGGCAGATATTAGGGTGCTGGCAGTGTGGGGTGCACCTGGATGGCCCCCCACAATGCAGAACTGCAGCTGGCAGAAAGGCACCCGCAGGGCTGCCCACACGCCCCCACGGCCAGCACACCTTGCAAGCAGGAAGAAACGCCTCCCGGGCAGAGAGCGAGCGGCCTCCCTCGCAACCGCCCCCGGGCGCGTGAAGCCTCGTGCTCTCTCGTCACACAAACCAACCAACAAACATCCCATTCCAAGGGACGGTTCCTAGGAACAGCAGACCCAATTTTTCCTTAGACTCAAGCAAGACATGTGGAATGTTAAGATACGTATTTATCTCTTTATACTAGCTGGGCAAAAATGTATACAAACCAGCACAGGAAGTCAGATATTCCAGTGTTTTACCCTTCCAGGAACTGAAAAATAATTCTAAATAAACGAATCAAGTATCTGAACATCTTAAGATATGGGAAACAGGACTGTTAATAAACTTAACTTTTTCTACGAGAAGCCATCTTAGACATTAAGGATACAGTTAGTGAGAGATGGCTGCCATTTTTGAACTTCTGGAACAAGAAGTAACCTGACATCCCCCCCCCCCCACCCTTCTCATAACAGACCATTTATCCCTTGATAAATCAAGGGTTTGCTTATGTTAACTCTGCTCTATCTTCTGAGAAGTCTTTAGTTTTGTAAATTATCTGTTAAAGTATGTATGTATCAAAGGCTATAAATAAAGGGGAGGTGAGCCAAGAAAATGAGTGGCGACTGGCAGGCCCTCCCTGCAGGCAGTTCCACAGAATTGGGCCACTGCCACCACTATCGGCGTGCCGCTCTTGTGGGCGACCCCTCCGGCTGGAGATGCCCATTGCGTCCCAAGAGCTCCCGCAAGCCCCTCTAAGGGCTCCTGAATGAGAACAGCAGGGATGGGGCATAAGAGGCTCTGGGACGGGAGCGGAGCCACCGCCACCGACCGCCTCCTCTGCAAGCGTGGCGTTTCAGGAGAGCCCTGCTCCAGGCGGCTTCCCCTCGCGCGGGGCACTTGTGTGACCCATGTGAGCGCTTGGCCCTTTGCGCCAAGCAGCATCCTGGCCCCATCGCAGATGTCTTCCAGCAATGGCAAGGGGATACCAAAGGGGTTTCCAAGGTGAGTGTGTGTAAAAGAGGACAGGAAGGTGTGCCAGAACACACAAACGCCTCCCCAGATGCCTACTGCCAGCAAACACCAGGGTCACGCAGATAAAGCTGGGTTCTCTCCCCGCCGCGTCCAGAGCTAGGGCAAGGGCACCCCCTCAACTTCGGGCGCGCGTGAGGCGGCTGCACACAGCCCTCACAGCCCTCACGGCAACCCACTAGAAGCGCCTCCACTCCCAGCGCCCACCCAACATTTGAAGGAATGCCTCTCCCCGAGCCCACATCTGCGCTGTACGGGCCCAGCTGCAAATCGGAGGGCCTTTCTAGGATTTCACAGGCGCTTTGGTGTAGAAAAACGTGGGCTCCGTGCCCCCGGCTGCCCAAGACACGGCAGCGTGACTGAGCCTCTCCTGGGCTCTTCCAGCTCCAGTCTGGGGCTCTGCAGGTGAGGAGCGGCTGGCCGAGGCACCAGCTGGGCTCCTGAACCCGGGCGAGGCAGAACCGAGCGCCCAGTGAGCGAAGGGGAAGCCACAGACGGGGCCTCTCGCAAGGCCTGTCCTTTGCCTGTCACCTTCCCAGCTGCCACAAGGAGCTTTGCAGGTCACAGCGGGCAGGAGGCAGGACAGGGGCTCCCGCTCTCCCCGTTTTCAGTGAGCAGTTGGTGAGAGCAGGACAGCGAGGGGTCCTGCAGACGTGCCAAAGGAGTGTGCGGTGGTCCTGCAGGAGCACTCTTGGGGGGCTGAATCCCACCGCTGGTGCAGAATCGTGGCGTGTTTCACACCCACCGCTGCGGCGCCTTCCATCCAGACAGCGGTGTATTTTTCCCCGAAGGATTTCACAGTGTTGCAACGGATTCTTCTTGTGGGCTGTCCAACCAGCTTTCGCTAACGCAGAAGGAATGGTGCCTGACGCACGGCAATGAGGAGAAAGGAAACGACGCTGAGTTACCTGGCGGGATCTTGCACACGGTCGCTGGATGCCAGCCGTAGCGCTGGTTACAGTTGGGAGACTGGACGAAGATGGCGCTGTCGCTCAGGCACTCCGCAAAGACCTCTCCTCCGATGTAATACAGCCGCACACCTCTCCCTGGAAGACACGAGGCATCCCCGTCAAAGGAAGCAAAGCTCCCCCCCCCCACCCCACCCCACCCCACCCCCCAAGTGCCAGGCTCCATCAGTCCCTGCAGGTGTGGCACCCTTTCAATTTTGTGTTTACCCTGCCCCCCATCAGACCGCCCCACACACCACTGTCCCAGGCATATCTTCATGGCCGCCCCGTGAGTAGGTGAGAGCTGAGGGGGCCACGGGCCCAGCATCCCTGAGGGGCCCCACGGCTGCAGAGAAGCCTTTGGTCAAGACTGAGAGACGCCCGATTGTCCAAGATCCCCGAGGGAGGAAACCTACTCGCTGTTACTGCAGCGAAGCCTATTTTTCTACCTTGCCAAAACCAGTGTAGTTACAATGTCAATCCTGTGCCGGATGCTTCCTAACCACAGTCCATGCAGGTCCACAGTTCACTGACTTCATAAAGGGAATTTACCCATGGGCAGGAAGCTGGCTATTTGAATCCTGAATTCAGACACAACCTTGCCAAGCTTTAAGTTCTCCAAATTTGGAAGGACATTTGACAGGCAGGCTCGGGAAGGCACTTGTTGTCTTCGGCTGAACTTCTGAGCAGACCCAACAGAAAAGGGTCAGGCGTGCCGCTGCGGCCCAAGGTATCTGGTGCAAGAGCGTGGATATGCGTGGTGATTACAGAAATGTTGCCAGCAGCAGTGTGGAGTAGTAGCTAGAGCTGGACTGAGGCTCGGCAGACCCCAGTTCTCCTTCCCGCTGAGGCAGGAAGCTCCCTGGGCAACCAGCTCTCAGCCCAACCCACCTCACAGGGCTGTGGTGGAGCTAAATGCAGAGGAGGTTGCGGGCGCCACCTCGGTTTTCCCAAAGGAAAGGCGGGACAGAGGAGTACCAAATAAGGCGTTCAGGCGGCGAGCCGATACGCACAGACACGAACACCAGGCCACCGCGGCACAAAGGGGGGCCGCCATCCCGCCCAGCCCCAGCGCGACCAGGCGGCCAAGGCCTACCGATGTGCCGCCGGGTGAGCTCCACGGCGGCGTTGCGGTTCACGTTGGACAGCAGGCCGAGGCAGAAGCGTTCGGAGTTGGACGGGTCGGTGAAGCCGTCCACGGTCATGGAGGGCTGCGACGCGTGGAAGGTCTCCCCGACTCGCTGGTTGAGCTCGTAGTACGAGATGGAGCACCAGAAGGCCGGCTCGCAGTAGGTGACGGGCTGGAGGTCTGCGAGGAGAGAGAGGAGGCCAACAGCCGTTCAAGCCGCTCCCACCCCATCGGCCAAGTGTGGCTCCCTGTGTTATGCAGATACTCCGAGGGCATAACATCTTGGAAACTTTTCAGTCGGCAACGATTTGAAACTTTCCAGTAGTAAGAAATGCTATGAACTTCCCCTGCCTGTCCAAGCAGCTCCTTTCATCCTTTTGGCACCCCTAATAGTACAGAATGGGTAGAAATGCCCAAAACAAAGCAACTCTTCTGAAGCATCTACATGTATTTCTAAGTTTTCTTCATAAATGTCCCTTACCCACTTCTGTTTCAGTTACTAGCTGCCAATTAGGTCATTAACTAAGCTTCAGCAAACAACACTCATTCTACAAGTTTCAAGAGTAATGTACTATCCTTACCCAGATTATTATGTGCAGGAGACATCGGGTTTGGAGATAAATTTGGAGAACCTAAGGCAAGAAAAAGATACAGTTAAGCTTCTATCTGCTGAACAATATAAAGTAACATGCCATCTTTGCATTTTATTTTATTTATTTTATTTTTTATTTTTTATATTTTATTTTATTATTTTTATATTTTATTTTATTTTATTTTATTTATCATTGCATTGCATTGCATTTTATTATTGCACTTGTATGCTGCAGCCTGTAGAAGAAAAGTTCTCTGGGCAGCTTATATTACATTGAGTGGCAATAAGTAAAACAATTCAATACAGACAATAAATGATAAGGGAATGAAGAAAGAATAATAAAAGGAACAATAAAAATCAAACATTCATTAATAATTGAACCATTTAAAATTCATCAATGTAAAACAATCCTGTGAAATAAAAAGTCTGGCAATCCTGACATCGTCATAGCAACTACAAAACCAATGTGATAAACATTTATAAAACCAACTTGACTCATTCTCCAGAGTAGTTACGGAAAAGAAATGTTTACAATTGGCGTCAAAATGAAAAAAAGCAGGCACCTGGCAGAATGAAGGAGCCATTACAGAAAAGGCCCTTCTCTAGCCATCTCCCCACTTCCTTCATCGGGGGAAGGGATTCGTAGAAGGGCCAGTGATGAGGAACAGGCAGATCTCGTTCTTCACCTCGGTGATCCCTTGCGGAGTTCAGTGCTCCCTGGGCAGACCGGAAGCCAAGGCTGGAGGGCAGCCACTGCCCCAAAGGCCCTGCGAGCGTTGCCAGATGCAACGGGGGCGTTTTTTGCCATACCGCACCTGCTGCGCATCTGTCACATGCGCAGATCCCATTTTCCACCTCCTTTATGTCATTTCATTTGCTGCTTTTATATTGCAAATAGTTTTTATCCTTCGAAAAGCGTTGGGAATCCCAGAGTCACAGGAGCACCAAAAGTAATAATGGTTCACAATTAGGGCACATTCAAAGCCAACGGAAAGTGATTATACCCCACAGATCCCACATACCGAGCCTTGCATTCGTCCCACTTTCAAAGGCCAGCAGCAACAGTGGGCAAAAAGGAGGAGCCATCAGAGTGGGGAGGAGGAGACACAGGGATTCCAGCTGGAGGGTCGTGGTGAGCCTGAGGGTCTGCCAGGCACACCGCGGGTTGTGTCTTGGCGGCCCATGCTCCACAGCTTTCGCACGGGCGCCTGGTTGGGCTATGAGACCCCGGGCAATGTGTGTCAAGTCCCAGAGTGGTGGGACTTCTACTGCATTGAGAAGAGCAACGACTGCAATTCCACCAAGGGCACAAAGTTGTTTTCAGTGTGAGCTAACCTGCATCCATACTGTGATTCCTCTGAGGGTCGCTGGTTTCTCCATCCTCGCTCAGGTAGCCAGGTGGAGGTGTCTCTGCAGGGATGCAAGCAAAACAGGAAAGATGGAGCTGTCATAAAAGCCAAGCCGGACGGCCGAGGATTCAGCTTGTTCATACGCGACCTTGATCCAGCCTTCTCGTGCAGGTCCCACACGGGGGCTTCTTGACGCAGGACCGTGTGACGCACACGCATCCCCAGAGGCCTGCCCAAGGGCCGGGCCTGGAAGAAGAACCTTGTGCGTTGACTAGCACTGTCTCTCTGCCCGTAAGAGATTCCAGAGCTTTGGATTAAGTTCCCCCCAGGGCCGCCCACTTCAACTGCTCGTCAACACACGCCAAGGATTCTGCGTTTGACAACAGGCCAGGTACGATGGAAAACACTGAGGCTAAGCCCAGACCAGGAGTAGCTCTTACTGGTGCATACACATAGCCAGGGGTCAGGGCTGGGATTCAACCCGTTCAAGAATCGGGCCCACAGCCAGGAAACGCTCCCTCGTCCCAGGATTTTCGGGTGGCAAGGAGTACGTTTGCACAGCTCCAGAAGTGCATGTGTTTGCACATGCAGGGACACACGCCTGCATTTGTATACATACCACGGCCCGTTTGAAAAATCCTGAAACAGTTTACAACAATAGTCAGACATTACATCACCGTGCAAGCACAGTAACATTTAGACAAGCACGTGGTAGGAAAAGGCAGGGCAAGCAAGCAAGCTCTGAACTGTCAACCGTGCCGGAAGGGGGGCTGTTCCGGAGAGGCAGCCCCCAGGGAGAAGACCTCTTGCCAGAACGGATTCTGCAGGAGGGCAGACCGGACAACGAGGCCATCTTTCTTTGGGGAGACAATTATTCGCACTTGAGCTGCTTGGGGATTCGCATCTCAAGTATACCTTGAACCCGGCCTGGTAGCAGTGTTGCTGGGAGCGCCATGGACTTGGGAATATTGTCCATTCCTGGCTACACCACTCTTGTTCGACTATCGCAATGTGCTCTCTGGGGGACTTCCCCGGCACAGTATGCAGAAGTTTCAATGGCTGTGAAATTCACGGCTTGGCTGCTCAAGATGGAGGCTTGCACTAGCTGCTGGGTGCCTTTTGGGCTCAGCTCCACGAGTTAGTGAAAGTCCTGCATGCCCGAGGATCTGGCCACCTGAGGGACGGCCTGTCCTCTTGTCTTGAAGACAGGCTCCAGAGAGCTCCTCGCTTTAGGGCCTCTCCAGGACACGGTTTCCAGCAGAAGCCCGCTGGCCAATGAGACACGGAAAGGCTTTCTTCTCGATTGCTCCCAAGCTCCTTCAGGAACGATGGTTGGGCCCCACTCTGCTAGCTTTTAGAAAGTGCACTTTAATGGGCCCTTTAAAACTTTACAGTTGTTCCCATGTTTTATTGTTTAAATGGTCCTTTAAAAGGCTGTTTTTTGCTTTAAATTGTGGTGCACCACCTTGATGGCTTCCTAAAGCAAATAAGGGGAAATATGTAAACAGCAGCGGCCAATTGATCAAATGGAGCAGCTGTTTATCTTTCTAAAGGCCTCCTTCATCACCCACCTTTATTTACTGCAAAAGGCAAATGAGAAAGCCGGCCCACTTTCCTTCTTTGCATGGGAGCAAAGCAAAGAGGAAGTCTCACCAAGAATGGCCCGTGTAAACCGCCCGGAGTGACACCCTCTGCCCACTGAACTCTCTCCAATCGGGGGGGGGGGCACCAGCTCAGGGACCCCTGCCCTTGTGTTACGGCTCATGCGGGTATCCACTCCAGCTCTTTGGAAAGTGGACTGATGAGCTGCTGAGCGCAGTCATGTCGAGTGGCCCAGCGCAGCCACTGGTACTCCGTGCCCCTCCTTTCCAGGAAGCCCTGCAGTACCTGGAATGTAGTTGCTCTGAGGTTCTATGCCTGCTGGGAAGTTGGTGTTCTCCGGAATAGAGTGGCTGTAGTCATCAAGCGGTGGGAATTCCGCTGGGATTTCTGTGTGTCTCGGCACGAGGACTGGAGGCAACACTGAAGAGACAAGATGGCCAAGAACAACCTCGGTGATGAGCCCGTGGCGCGAATCCGGCTGGCCCCTCCGTGCTCCGAGTTCCCTGGAACAAGCCTCCTCGGCCCCCGCCCCCGCCCCGGGGCTTCCCCGAAACTGCAGTACCTGGTGTTTCCACTCTTTGGTAGTGATACGGGTTCACACAGACTTCATCCTTCTTCATGCTGAACGCATATTCGCACATCTCCATGGCCCGGAGCTCATGATGGCTGTGAAGATCTGGCCACCGCCACAGCCGGCAGTAGATGACATGGGGGAGGCCCTTCCGGTGGGACACCTGCAGCCGCCCGTCCAGCGACCTGCACGGGCGAAAATGAGGCCAGGGGAGCATGGGAAGCTTTGGGGCTTTGCTCCGGAGGTGTCCTGCTTTTGTGGCAAGAGGAGGGAAGCAATCCCGAAACAAGCCAGCGAGTTAGGGCTGTATTTATGGTTGTTACAGGAGGTGATGGCTGTGTTTTACTGTTGCTTTCGATTATGCATTATATTTTATTTATGAATTTATAGGCTGAATATAACTGTCAAGGCCTTCCTAGGCAGCTAGGCCTTCCTATTATCACAGGTATTCCTGTTTTGATTTTAGCATTGCCTTTGTGCTTAATTTTGCATTTTTGTTTTGATTTTAGTCTCCTATGTTGTTTGGGGGATCCCCTCTCTGGATCCCGGCGCAGGTAAATTCAGCTGGGCTGAACTGAGGCATTCAAAGCCGCAGCAAACGTGGCCCCCATCTTGAGAATGCAAAGACTGCAAAAAGCACGTGAGCAACCCGCAAAATTGAAACCTGCAAGTTCCCCAATATCCATTTCTTTTTCTTGATGCATAAGATTCATCCAGCCAGCTTAGCAAACAGTTATGCCTGTAATGCTAGTCTCTAAATACCTGTTCCATAGCAAGAACCCCATGTCTCCAGCTACTGAGTCATGGCTCAACCTGGCCCAGCAGGACTGCTATGGGGAACTGGCGCAAGGACCCCAAGTGCCTACCGGTGCCAGTGGAGGCTCTTTCCCCCCAGTTTAATTGATGAGCTGAGGGAAATTTACGGGGGGACTGATTACCACGAGGGAGGGAAGAGACAACCCTCCTCTTCTCATATTATGCAAAACACATGCCTGAAATCCCTCCCTGCCTACATAATGAAGCACTAGAAATAAACTTTCCACTGGCGCGAAAGGGAGCTTTATTTTGACACTGAATTGCCATGCTGGAAGGGGGATTTCTACTGGAGAGGAAAGGGTTAACCTTCTGCTCCACATGTGCTGTGCCCCCCCCCCCAAGGGTTCTAAAATATGGAATTTCCCCCCCCCCATTAACTGAAAGGGGTGAGGGCAGTTTTGCTCCAAGTGGGAAGCAGGACAGGGGCAAGAAAGAGGGGCCCAGACGGCAATGCCTTTTGCTCTCCAAGCTGCTCCCTCCCCAGGTAGCCAAGCATGTGCTGGTAAGGCTGGGCCCTGAGCACACCTGTGCATGCAGGTGAGAGGTGTCTCTCTTTTCTGTGTGATTCGGTGGTCTATGGCACGTGGTGTCTTGTTTTTTCTTTTCTTTTCTTTTCTTTTCTTTTCTTTACAATAGGGTCACATTCTTAATATGCACAATAATGCAATTAATATAAACAATTATTAAGTGGCCTGTATCTGGGCTGATAAAACCTATTAGACCAAAAATCAAGGTGAGCGGCTGGCGGTCCATCCACTCCATCAAACCCTCAGAAGTACATCAAAAATGGACACCGAATTCTAACCAAATAATCTCTCTCTATTTCCCCTCCAGCCAAACAAACGCAAGTGGCCAGCTTTTCCATCAATACCGCTGCCCATACGCTATCATGGCATTTCCCAAGTGAGAAGCCCCTGGGCACCTTTGCAAGGCCTTATGATCTCGGCAGCTCCCAGAAGCGTTGCCAGCCATCATTTAGGATCCAGTCCTTCCTTCTCCCCAGTAAACAGTAAAAAAAGTAACAGGGATTCATTAGGAGTTACCATTTGTTGTGATAGTTTATTCAACCGCTCTGTTGCATCATTCCAAAAAGACTTGATTTATTTATTTTTCGCTTTATATCCTGCCTTTTTCCTACAGAGGGCTCAAGGCAGCTTACATCATTCTCCTCCTCCATCTTATCCCCACAACAACAACCCTGTGAGGTAGGCTGGGCTGAGAGTCTGACTGGCCCAAAGTCACCCAGTTGGCTTCATGGCTGAGCAGGGGCTCGAACCCGGATCGCCTGAGTCCCAGTCCCAGGCTCTTCACCACTACGCCACACCGGCTCTCCAGTGTGATTTCTGGACAAAACAACCATGTATGCTCAAGCAAACCCCTTAAATGATAGTTTCTCCAGCACCTATCTGGTAATGGAGTGTTAGTTTTGGGTAATTTGGTGGGACACAGTCCACATCCATGGACTGTGTTTAAAACCATTTCTTTGGATTTAGGTGGTACCAAGTTGCAGAGCTGCAAGAGCCATATTCTTGCCCATATTCTTGCCCAAAGAGCAGTAATTAATTTTCCCCCAAGTCCTTCCGTATTCATTCTCCACAATCCTTCTTGGTAAGTGCGACTAGCTCCTGTTTCCAGTGTGCCCTCTTTTGGCTCACACCTAATTTATCTGTCAAGATAAATATGTACAGCTTAAGAAACTAGGATTTATAGAATCAAAGAGTTATTTATAAATGGAAAGCCACTTTCATTAGAACAAGGAGGAGATGAAATAAGAAGTTGCTGGTTTCAACGAATGCACGAAAAAAGCTTTCCAACTTGACATGGCATGTGAGTGCTCACAGTATTTGAAGAGCGCTGCATTGGAGAATTTAGTGGCACAAGAAAAGACGAAAGTCCTCACTCAGAAAGGAAGCCCCAAAAGCTAGTAGTGGGGCCAGGAGCCCCCCTCCTGTCCTTCTGCTTCCGGCTCCTCCACACGGCCCAGCCCTGAGCTTCACGGTCCCTCTTCTTCAGCTCCCATCTACCCCTTCTTTCCTTCCACATCGTTCCCCTGGCCCACCTTCCTCTTGCAACCCTTATTCTCCCCACCCTCACCCAGCAGAATTGCTCACGAACCCTGTTCGGGTTTTTTGCCTCCAGGGTACAGAGTCAGTGATGGTGAAGTGCTGGGGTAATTAACAGGAGGAGAATTTAGAACACTCCAAAGCCAAATCTGAGTGGGAACTGGGAGCTCAACTGGGGGTCATCCCAGAACAGAACAGTCACAGGAACAAAGGGGCCTCAGAGGGCATCAAGTCTGGCCCCCCACACCTCTTCCACATGTGGTCACCCATCCAGCTGCAGGCCAGCGCCTGCAAAAGTGGCTGGTCAGGCCAGCTCAACTGTCAACTCCCTGCTGGTGCACCAGTTGGCCTGTTGGGGCATCAAAAAACCCTCTGTCCGCTCTCCCTTTCTGTGCTCCTTGCCACACCATAGACAAATAACTGCGGAGGTACTAGCAATCTGCGATTATCAGGGGAGGGGTGCAAATTAATGGAATAATCCGTTTTATTTGAAGTGAACTGGATGAGAAATTAATTGGCTATCTTGGGGTTCTGTGAGCTTTAAACAGATCCTGGCACGCATGTGCAAAGTTTATGCAGAGCGGCAGGCGTGAGCCCCAGACCCTGGAGGATCCTCTCGGTGCCTCTAGCTGTACCCCTTCGCAGCACATTTTGTAATGGCTTCCATTTTAAGGAGCACGACTTGGGCGAGAATAACGATCGAGGGCTTCTCTCCGCTCCAAGTGGAGCTCAGAACAAGTAGAGGAAGTGACCTCTGGAGCCGTCGGTGCAACTTCAGGCTCCCCGCAACCCCCGGTGATCCCGCGGGCACACAACGCACCTGCCTGAACAGCTGCTAGCCAGAGTAGTGACACGAGGCCAAGTGAATCCGGCTCTGCCGCAAGCCTGGATGGTGGGTTCTCCCGCTCTCCAGCCCATTTGCTCCCACTTGGCTGCTCCTGCAGCAGGGCCAGCTGAACTAAAAGAGGCCCCCGTGCTTTTTCCGCACTGCCAGCCATTCTCTGCCAAACTGTGGCAGGAGCAGCACTGTGGTTATTTTAACCTCAGCACTGCGAAGCGACGCAGAAAAAAGGCCTTTTATCATCTCAAGCAGTACGGTAATGCTTGGCATGATGCACGGGGGTCTGAAGCTCCTAGCCGAGCGCTGCTGGATATACAGATATGCCGGCGCAGTGCCTCCTTTTCCTAGAATTTCTGGAACAGAAGCAATGCCAGCTTCTTGCAGCAGGAACAGCAAGGAGTCTTTTGGCACCATAAATGCAATTCTTCCAGCTCCGCTCTTCTAGGGTTCTGTGACTCCGCGAAACTCGCAGGGAACACCATCAGCAGAAGAAATAAATGAACCAGATGCGTCCAGTGACAGGGACTAGAACCCACAGAAAGCTGTGCCAGAAGCAGCGCATCAGACGTGAAGGTGCCGGCTGCCCTTTTTCAGAAGAGGCTCCGGGCAGGCCGTTCGCTTATGTCTCAGCTCCATGCAGGATCCAAGAAGGCGTTTCACCACAGCAGGAAGAGGGGGACGTCGAGGTGCTCCTTTGTAAACACGGAATAGCTTAGGGAAAGGGCAGCCAGCTCTGGCGTGGGATCAAGAGGTGGAAATCCGCCAGGGCACGGGCACGGGCGCCTCCTTGCGCTGGGGTTTCTCGCAGGGCAAGTGCTACTGCCCCCAGCTGAAGAGCCACCCAACTTCATTCACAAGCAATGAGGTTTTCCTATTTTTAACTTCTGTCAGGGCCACAGCTTTCAACATTTAATGAATAACCCAGGCCTGTACTTTTCTTCCACAAAAGTTCTTTTAGGACTAGGTTAGCCGCGTTTTTGCCAACTCTCTCCCTCCCTCCCTCTATATATACAGTGGTACCTCAGCTCACGAACGCCTCAGGGTCATGAACAAAAATTTCACAAAAATGTTGACTCGGGTCGTGAACTCTGCATTGGGTGGTGACCGCGATCGCGGCCATCTCCTCACCCCCCCACCCCAGTGGGGAGGCGGCCAGATCGTGCCCGTCTTTCCTGCAGGAGCGCAACCCCGATCTCGGCCATCTCCCCCCTCCGCGCCAACGAGTGTGCCTGCATTTGCGCCATCTCCCCCCCACCCCCGAGCGTGCCGGGATGACGGGCGCATGCAGGGATGACGGGCGCAATCGCGGTCGTGCTGGGGGTGGGGGGGAGAGGGCCACAATCTTTGTTGCTCTTTGTCACTTTGCTTCACGTTTTTCTGATTAAAAAAAAAAAAAGCCACAGAACAGATGAACCTTATTTACATCGACCCTCATGGGGAATTTTGACTTGGCTCACAACCAATT